GGAGAGAAGGGAGCAGAAAAAGACATAATCACTGAAGACTTCTAGATTTCATTGAGAGACATTAACCTATTCAAGAAGCTTAAAGAACTCCAAGTAAGTTAAAGTTAGAGAGACCTAGATGCAGGCATATCATAGTTGTAAGAAACTTTTAAGGATGTTAAAAAAAAAAAAAAAGTTCACAAGGAAACATGAGTAAAATTAACAGTTGTGTCTTAGAACTTCAGAGGGCATTAAGATAATGTACACAAAGTGCTGGGGCAGTGGAGGGACCTAACAGCTAAGAATCTCATATTCAGTAAAACTATTTTTTAAAAATGAAGGCAAAATAAAGACCTTCCCAGTTAAATACTGAGAATTTATTGCAAGCAGATTTGCCATGCAAGACATACTGAAGAACATAATTAGGCTGACATTAAGTGACATGAGGTAGTAATTCAAAACTCCAGGGGAGGAATAAAAGAACTACAGGCATACCTTGTTTTATTGCTCTCTGAAGATAATTGCATATTTTACAAATTGAAAGTTTGTGACAAGTCTGCATCAAACAATTCTATCAGTGCTATTTTTCCAGTAACATTTGCTCACTTCACATCTCTGTCACATCTTGGTAATGCGCACAGTATTTCAAATTCTTCCGTTGTACTTGTTAAGGTGATGTATGATTGGTGATTATGACTTGACAAACGCTCAGATGATTGGCATTTTTTTTTTTAAAGATCTTATTTATTTGAGAGAGAGAAAGAGATCATAAGCTTGGGGGAGGGGGATAGAGGAAGAAGCAGACTCCCCACTGAGCGGGGAGCCTGATAAGGGATTCAGTCCAAGGGCCTTAGGATCATGACCTGAGCTGAAGGCAGACGCTTAACTGCCACCCAGGTGCCCTGATTAGCATTCTTTAGCAATAAAGTATTTTTAAATTAAGGTATTACATTGTTTTTTAAGACATAATGCTATTTCCTGCTTAGAATATGATACAGTGTAAATCTTTCATGTGCACTATAAAGCCAAAGACTTCATTTGACTCACTTTATTGCAATACTTGATTTGTTTTGGGGTCCTGGACCCAAACTTGCAATATCTCATCCCTATAGAAGTTTTGAACACTATAAACCCATAGTGCATACCTACCTAACAGGTTTCTATGGAATAGTCCAATCAGCAACAGCAGAGTGTACATTCTTAAGTGTAAATAGAATATTCTGCAGGACAGACCATATTCTAGGCCATCAGCAGACCTCATTAACCTAAAATACTGCAATCCTATAAGGTAGGGGTTTTATCCATAATTGAATTAAATTATAAATCAAAAGGGAAATTTGGGGATTTCACAAGTATATGTTAGGTATATGCTCCTGGCTAACCAATGGGTCAAAGAAATGACAACTGTGAAATGAGAGTAAACTGAGATGAGTGAAAACAAAATACCAAAACTTACGGAGAGTTGCTAAGTCAGTGCTCAGAGGGAAATTTATACCTCCAAATGTTTATTGTAAAGAAGAAAGTTAGCAGATCAGTAACCTTCAGAAACTAGAAAAGAGCAGACTAAATGCAAAGTAGGGAGGAAGGAAATAATGAATGTTGGAAGTGTAATCAAGTAAGTTAAGGGAGGAAAAAGAATATCAATGAAACTAAAAGGGGTTTTTTTGTTTTCTTTGTTTTTTTTTTTTTTAAGATCGGCAAAATTGACAAACCTTTAGGCTAAGAAAATGACTCAATTATGAAAATCAGAAGTAAGAGGGCATCACTACTGATCTTACAAAAACGTATGAGAATACCAAATTACGGAAATTGAAGAAGCAATAAAAAAGTTGTATAAACTTATATCAAGTAAAAAGATTGAATTAGTAACCAAGAAACTTAACACAAAGAAGTTCCAGGACCAAGTGGTTTCATTAGTGAATTTTGCTGAACATTTAAAGAATTATCACCAGTCTTTCAGAAATTCTTTCCAAAAAATTAAGGAACACTCCTTCTATGAAGTTGTTAACTACCCTGATAGCAAAATAATACAACGACATCAGAAGAAAACTGTAGACCAATATCCCTTATGAGTATAGATTCAGAATCATCAAAAATATCAAATTGGGCAACATAAAAAGTATTATGGGGTACCTGGCTGGCTCAGTTAAAAGAGCATGCAACTCTTGATCTTGGGGTTGTGAGTTCAACCCCCCACATTGGGCGTGGAGATTACTTAAAACCTTAGAAAAAAGGATTATGTATTGTTACTAATTGGAATGTATCTCTGGAACACAGTTGATTTGACACCTAAAAGTCCATTGTGATGCACCGTATTAATCCAGTAAAGGAACAAAACTGTGTGATCTTCTCAGTAGGTGAAAGGTATTTGACAAAATCTAACACCTTTCATTTTAAAATCATTCAACAAACTAGGAATAGAATGTAATTTTATCAGCCTGATAAAGGGCATCTCAAAGATCTCACAACTAATAACCTCATACTTAATGGTGAAAGTGGCTGCTTTCCCCTTTGGAACAGGTATAAGACAAGGATGTCCATCCTAGTCACTTCTAATTTAATCCGTTGTAGGTGCTAGCCTGAGCAACTAGGCAAGAAAAATAAATCCTCACTGGAAAAGAAGCAAAACTCTTAGCACAGAAAACAACATCTGTATATAGAAGTCCCTAAAATCTATTAAACCTAATAAATGAGTTGAACTAGATTGCAGGAATTAAGATTACAATGTCAGTTATATTTCTGTATGCTCAGCAGTGTGCAACCTTAAAAATTTTATAATTTTATTTACAGTAGCTTTATAAGGAATGAAATACTTAGGAATGAATTGAACAAAAGGAATATCAAACATTCCCTTCTTTTTGCTTTATTAAAGATCTTATTTTTTTGAGTACTCTCTACACCCAGTGCGGACCTCAAACACAAAACCCTGAGATCAAGAGTCTCAGGCCCCACTGACTAAGCCAGCCAGGCACTGCCAAAACTTGTACATTTTAAACTACAGGACAATATTGTTGAAAGAAGTTAAAGATCTAAATAAAGGGAAAGACATTCCATATCCACTGAATGGAACACTTAATATTGTTAAGGTACCCTGCAAGTTGATCTACAGATTAAACACAATCCCTATAAAAATCCAAACTTCTCTCTCTTTACAGAAATTGACAAGCTGATCCTAAAAATTACGGAAATGCAAGGGACCCTAGGACCCTAATAGCCAAAACAGACCTGATTTCAAAGCTTAATGCAAAATAACCATAATCAAGACAGTGTGGTACTGACATAAGAATAGATGTATGCATCAGTGAACTATAATTAATAATCTAGAAATAAATTGTTAAATTTATGCTTGACTTTTTTTTTTTTTTTTGAAGATTTTATTTATGACAGAGAGCAAGAGAGGGAATACAACAAGCACAGGGGAGCTGAAGAGGGCGAAGCAAGGGAGCCCGATATGGCACTCCATCCCAGGATGCTTGGGATCATTACCTGAGCTGAAGGCAGATGCTTAACGACTGAGCCACACAGGCGCCCCTAAATTTCTTTTAAGGTTTTATTTATTTGACAGAGAAATCAAAAGCAGGCAGAGGGGGAGGGGGAAACAGGCTCCCTGTTGAGTAGAGAGCCCAGTGTGGGGCCCTAGGACCCTGAGATATGACCTGAGCCTAAGGTAGAGGCTTAACCCACTGAGCCACCTGGGCGCCCTTAAATTTATGCTTGATTTCTTAAAAGGGTGTCAGGAGCGTTCAGTGGAAAGAAGTCTTTTTGGTAAGTGTTGCTAAAAAATTTATGTAAGTACATCTAAAAGAATAGTTTGATTCCCTGCCTCTTACCATCCACAAAGCTTAAAACATATCATAGACCTAAAAGTATGAAACTGTTAGGAAAAACATAGAAATAAATTTTTGTGGTTTTGGTTGAGGGGAAAATAACATTCTAAGAAGGTGAAAAAGTAGTATCTTGGGACTTAACTACTCGCAAATGGTACAGCCAAGAAAGTAAAATGACAGAAAAACAGGACAAAATAACTGTAAATCATATCTGTTACAAAGGACTTAAATCCAGAATATATAAGAACTCTTTCAACTCAAAAGACAGCCCAGTTAGGAAATGGACAGAGGATCTGTATAAACATTTCTCCTGAGATAACAAATGGCTAAGGCACACAAGAAGACGCTCAATATCATTAGTTATTAAGTTAATGGAAATCAAAACTACATTGAGATCCTATTTCACACCTAAGGATGACCAAAAAAATTTGACAAAAATGTTTACATGGCCTAGCCTATACTAAAAACCATTGAATTGTACATTTTAAATGTGTGAATTTTAGGGTATTTGAATCCTGTCTCAAGATAGATGCTTTTTCAAATGTGAACTTTTTCCCCATAATGGGTTACAAAATAGACTCTAAACAACTTGCATTCTATAATGTCAGGAACCAGTTTGTTAGCCTTAGCCACAGACACTTGAATTTAATTTATTCTCATCTCAGTTTTCGTACTAATTGAGTTTTGTGGGGTTTTTTTAAGATTTTATTTATTTGACACAGAAACGGAGGGAGAGAGCACAAGCAGGGGTAGTGGCAGGCAGAGGGAGAAGCAGACTCCCCATTGAGCAAGGAGCCCATTGCGGGCTCATGACCCTGGGATCACTGTAAGCAGAAGGCAGACACTCAACCGACTGAGCCATCCAGGTGTCCCTGAAGAATTGTTCTTGGCAGCACATTTAACAGATTGTTTTCTTTTGGTTTAAGTAGAAGAAAAATCTGTTTTCGTAGAGAAAATAAGAAATAGGTAGAGAATAAATAATTAGTAAACTTAGTAAAATTAAAAATTAGCAAATAGTAAATAAATAATTAGTAAAATAATTAGTAAACTTTAATTAGTAAACTAAGTAAACAGTGAATAAATAATTAGTAAAAAAGAATTAATGACTTTTTGACTGACTTAATTTCCTTTGGTTTAAGTCAGCATTGTTGCAGATATACATGTGTATAATGCATGATTTTTCTTAATTTGCAGATCATGAAGACTATGACCCCCAAACTGTGAGGCTGGGAAGTAGATACAGTCATGTTCAAGAAGTCCAGGAACGGCTTAACTTCCTTAGGTTTGTTTTAAATCATCAGTGTTGTTCTCTTTATGACAGATAAAGAGTGCTTAGTTAATGTGCTGTATAGTTAGATCATGTTAGGTGACCTTTTTGCCTGCCACCTTTTATATTCCCACATGGAAATGATTACCTAAAATTCAAAGGACATTTCCCTGTTTATGATTAAATACTTTTAAATTATTGGCTGAGTTTTTTCTTCTTTGCAGTATTTGAAGAGAGCACATTCTAAGATTTTGGATAGACTTCTTTCTTACTTGTTTTCGCTAAAAATAAGTGTATTTTTGAAGAATAAATTCCCATATTTTGATACAACCAGCAGGAGAGCTATACTCACCTTAATGGTATCCTAGTTAATAAGGAAATGGAGACAAGGGGCTGCTGGCTCTACACTTAAAGAGTTGCCTTGTTTATCCTTGCAGTGGCTGACAAAGGTGGTCTGAATGTGTCAATAACATTTTCTGCTGGTGATGAGGCAAAGAGGTTTATCCCCTTGAGCCATAGCTAAATGTAGTCCAAGGCTAAATTTGAATTTCCTCAGTGATAATTAGCCTTTAATGCTTATACACTTACAGATTTGAAATTGTTAAGAATTTTTGATGAGCGGTTTCATGTAAATTTAGAAACCACATACTGCAGAAATGCTTATTCAGTTCGTTAAGTGTGCCAGGGGAAATGCTCAGATTGTCAGTGCTTTGGGAAATCTATTGCATTTATTATTTTGACATGTTGGGGGATTTTTTTCTCCTGAGCTGTGTTAATTATGGACTTGTTTATTACTAAACTATGTGTTTATCTACTGGAAAACATTATGTAAATAGTTACATGATTTTAACTTTAGGAAAAACTCTGACCACCAGATTTTAAGAAATTTGGCATTTGTTGAAAATGAAATTATTTTTGTGTGTGTGTTTCAATTTTCAACCACCCAAGTAGAAGGACTTGCCTGTCTAGATAAAATCACTGCCATAGTGAGCCACTGTTATTGATTGGTATGTGTTGTATCCCTTAGGTTACATAGAACAGAAAAATGGTTATGATTCCTACTGTCTTTAAGTTTGGAGTCGCAGGAGCTATTTTACTCCATGGTCTGTTACACCTGTTTACATGAGCAACATGTAACACACTCAAGGGGAAAACACCTGACTTACTGCTTTACTTGTCCTGTATTAAATGGTTTATATTTAATCCTCATAGCCATGCAGAAGGCAGGTATTCTCCCCATTTGATTAAAAAGTAAGTGGAGGGAGCTCCTGGGTGGCTCGGCGTTAAAGCCTCTGCCTTCGGCTCAGGTAATGATCTCAGGGTCCTGGGATTGAGCCCCGCATCAGGGCTCTCTGCTCAGCAGGGAGCCTGCTTCCCTCTCACTCTCTGCCTGCCTCTCTGCCTACTTGTGATCTCTGTCAAATAAATAAACAAACTCTTAAGAAAAAGTGGAGATCAGCATAGCTTAAACCAGTTTCTTTGAAATTTCGCAGCCAATATGGACACCAGTTGTACCACTCAACTAGATCTATCTGACTCAAGGTCTATGCTTTTTATAGTAGACAGTGATTTTTGCAAATCTGTTTTGGAGCCTTAAGGCTTCTAAGGAACTTGCTCTGAGATTTTTGAACAAGCAGTGAAGATTTGATTTCTCATTTCTTCTTTCTTTCCTCCTCCTCCCAACAACTGGGACATCCCCACTTGTATTTTATACATTGGACTTCCAAATGGAATTTTTGCTTGAAGAAAGTTTAAAACAACAACAGACTTTGAAAAACAAATGTATGTCACCACAGAGGACATTTCATATTGTATCTGTAAATGAGAGGTAGCAGGGTTAGATGGGACTAGGTGCTAGAAAGCCTCTCATAACTCCACAGTTCTATTAAAGTATCAAAAACCCTAGGATTGAGATCCCAAAATGCTTGGAAGTAATTAGGGAACCCATTGACATGAAATACATGCACCTTACTCCGTAACTGGGCGTGGAGCCATCATTATGTTAGCTAGAAATTCTGTGCTAATTCCGAATAAAGTGAGGTGTTCTCTTTTCCTGTCATTCACAGATAGGTAGGTGGAGGAATGCTAAAAGAAATACAAAGTTAACAGAAGAGATAGCTGTAATGAAATTCACCTTCATTGTCTTAATAACCAATATTCACAAAACCAAAAAGAGCATCACTGAATAATTGATAAGCATCCTTCTAAATATGAACAGAAAAAGTTTAAGTCATACAGCAGTTATTCTGTTTAATGTGTCCAGGTACTGAGTGATGCGTATTTGACCATCAGAAAGCATTAAACTTAAGGAATTTTGACTTAAATTAGTAAATGAAATGTTTATGTGTGAAAGTCACTTGGAAACTACCTCATTTTCCAATGATGCCGTAGAAGCAGAATGGTAAAACTCAACCCATTACACATTAGTTTTGCAGTGGCTGGTTTCAAAGACCAAACTGTTTAAGTTCAGTAAACAAATCTTTTATTCAGTTTAGGCCCAGTTCCTGTCACATTGTAGGCATCCAATATATGCTTGTTAAATGAATGAATTAGTACCTAGTTGATTTTTTTCTTATTATTACTATTTTTAATTTTTACTATAGCATAAAAATTAATTTGGTAAGATATTAATAAGCACTGACATCTTTTTAACTGTAGTTAAAATACAATTGTGACAGATGGATTTTTATTACATATATTGATAGATTACCTTTCACCATAAAAATTAGGTAGATCTAATTGCTCATTTTTTATGTTTTTCCAAGATTTTTATTGAAGGATGGCCAACTGTGGCTATGTGCTCCTCAGGCAAAACAAATATGGAAATGCTTAGCAGAGAATGCAGTTTACCTTTGTGATCGTGAAGCCTGCTTTAAGTGGTATTCCAAGTTGATGGGGGATGAACCAGACTTGGATCCTGATATAAATAAAGACTTCTTTGAAAGTAATGTGCTTCAGCTTGATCCATCCCTATTAACTGAGAATGGAATGAAATGTTTTGAGCGATTCTTCAAAGCTGTGAATTGTCGAGAAGGAAAACTAGTAGCCAAAAGGAGAGCATATATGATGGATGATTTGGAGTTAATAGGATTAGACTATCTTTGGAGGGTAAGTGAAAAGTAGGAACTTGATAAACATTCTTTCCGATGAAATTTTTCAAATAGCGAAAGGGTGACAATTTTGCATCTAAATTACGTGTGTATGCTGCTCTGATGCTTGTCCCAGAAGGTAGTGATAGTTCATCTTATTGGGTCATTCGTCATTGGGTTTGTTTTTCTTCTCTCCCTTCCCTTCCCCCTCTGTCACTGATGATCCTTTTGTCTTGGCTTAGAATATATCCTTCTGGGTGTGTTTAGAAATACACTGACCGTACACATTTTTCATGCCTCTCCATGGAAGTTACTGTTCTTCTCTTTATTCATTTAGTGTAGATCCATTCTCCTTCGGTGTTAATGTTACACATGCAATGCTAAAACAGAACAGAGGAGAAGACTATTTAGAATGAACTACAAATGTATATTTCATTGGCAGTGTTTCAACCTGGGATGTTTTTAAACACCTGAGGAAGCGAAATACCATCTGTTTATTTTTTCACCTTTTTAATTTCAATATATATGTTTTTTAATTGAGATAAAATTGACACATTATATTAGTTTCAGGTGCACAACATAATGATTATTTGTACCTGTTGTGAAATGATCACCCCATCCATCACCACATGCCATTACAAATTTCTTTTTTGTTGTGATGAAAACTTTGAAGATTAACCGATGGCAGCTTCCAAGCATGTAGTATTAACTATAGTCACCATGGTGTACTTTACATCCTCAGTACTTATTTTATAAATGGAAGCTTGTGCCTTTTAATCACCCTCACCCATTTTGTCCATCCCTGCCTCTGGTAACCACCAGTCTGTTCTCTGTACCTATGAGATCAGTTTTTTAATTTGTTTGTTTTTTAGATACCACATACAAATAAATGAAATCGTATAGTATTTGTCTTACCCTAAATTTATTTCACTTAGCATAGTGCCCTCCGGGCCTGTCCATGTTGTGGCAATATAGTATCAGTATATTGTTTCTGTCTTCAAAAGTCTGACCTGTTCACAGCAGTTCATATTTTTTTAGTATATTTTTCTGCCAACCATGGACCGTTTACTGTGTCATTCAGTTATTCGGACTTTTTCATTAAGTACTCTAAAATGTAAAAGTAGTTGGAGGAGAGAGAGCCTGTTGTTTTTTTTCTTTGGGTTTTTGTTTTTTCTGCTCATTCCCCATATGCTTCACAGCCTTCCCTCTTCCCAGGCCTACAGAGGGTTCAGCCTTAAAACATTTCCTCAACCCCCTAGAGTTCTGCACATAGTTTGAAGACCACCAGTATAATTAAATGAGTGATAAAGATCTATAGAACTGGAGGGGAGTGTAGTGTAGCTCTTTGTCCTAAACTGTATTTCATGCATATTTTGTTTCTTTTTAGTAATTTGAATTCCTCCTTTAGTGTCTTACAACTTGGTTCCAAGGTGTGGATTTGCAGGGTTAATACTGGTCAAAGCATTTTTGTTCTTAGTAGTATGTGCCTTCCATTCTTAAATTGCTTTATTCAAAGACTTGAGTTTTATATTTTACTACTTTCTATGGTCTGTGGTTATTTTTTACTTGATTTTACTTGATTTACTTGAATATCAAATATAGCCTCAAATTATAACCGAGTAATGCATTGAAAATAACCAAGGGTGTGGTTTGAGTAGAAGTGTCCAGCTAAAATATTTCATGAAAGTTGCTTATATTTGAATCTTTTGAACCTAGGTTGTGATTCAAAGTAATGACGATATTGCCAGCAGAGCTATAGATCTTCTTAAAGAAATATATACAAACCTTGGTCCGAGGCTACAGGTCAATCAGGTGAGGATTGACATTCACTAAAACGTCCACAAGTTAGAATTCTGATTAAAGAACTCTTCACTGATAAGAATTTTTCCTTCAGTTCTGAATTAACTAAATTGTTCTGTTTCAACTCCTATTAAAAATACACCTAAAGAGGAATGCCTGGGTGGCTCAGTCAGTTGAGCATCTGACTCTTGATTTCAGGTTAGATCTTGACTTCAGGGTTGTGACTTTTAAAAATATATCTGTTGGGGCCCCTGGGTGGCTCAGTGGGTTAAAGCCTCTACCTTCGGCTCAGGTCATGATCCCAGGGTCCTGGAATCTAGCCCCATATCATATCGGGCTCTCTGCTCAGCAGGGAGCCTGCTTCTCTCTCTCTCTCTCTGCCTCCCTCTCTGCCTACTTGTGATCTCTGCCTGTCAAATAAATAAAATCTTTAAAAAAATATATATATATCTGTCGAAAATATTTAGTCTCCCCATTATACAAAATGCTAAATTAATCTTGTCTTGATAATTACGTGAGGTGATTATTTTGAGTATAATAGTGGCATGAATTTCTTCTCTTGGTTCTGCCACCTACTCCAAAGTCCATTTTTTAAATATCTAGTTCATATTACTTACCATACATAACTCTAGCTTCCTTTGACAAAACATAGTATGTTTTATTATCAGTATAGACTTCGGTTAAATAACTTGGCTGTCTTTAAATAATTAGTTGTTGCCATCTTTAATTGAATTAATGTTTTTACATGTATTTTTTTGTTGTTTTTATTTTAAAGTATCTTTTGACTGTCTTTATTTGGCCCATTATTTGTAGGTGGTAATCCATGAAGACTTCATTCAGTCTTGCTTTGATCGTTTGAAAGCCTCTTATGACACACTATGTGTTTTGGACGGTGACAAAGACAGTATTAATTGTGCAAGGCAGGAGGCTGTTCGAATGGTTCGTGTATTAACTGTGTTAAGGGAGTACATAAATGAATGTGACAGTGATTATCACGAGGAAAGAACAATTCTACCTATGTCAAGGTTTGTGAATAACTGTTCTTCTAATTAACTATTTGGTATTTTCCTAGACCTTTTTTTCCAGGATCTAGTTTTTGTTTGTTGTTGTTTTGTTAGGGATTTAAGTCTAGTTTCCTCTTTGTATTTTTTGTTGTTGCTCTTGCCATGACTTCAGTACCTATTAAGTGTTGGCTAAGGGTAATACGGAGTTGAAGTATTTTGATGCCATTCATTTATACAGTTAATTGCATAGTAAGATTGGAGAATAATTGGAAAAACTCTTAAGGACTGCTTTTGACAGGTAGCTGATAGAACAGGAAATACTTCAAAATTGTCTACTAACATTTCTTTTAAGGTCTCACCATTGAGTAATTCAAAGAGTATAATTTAGATATGTTTGTAGAATGAATGCAATCAGTATTTTAAAAGAGTTCTCATTGCTAACCATGAAATTATATAAAGTTGCTTCTTGAATATATTTTTATTTGTTGTATCTTAACCTGTGAGAAGATGTTATCAGGGGCGCCTGGGTGGCTCAGTCACTTAAACATCTGCCTATGGCTCAGGTCATGATCTCCGGGTCCTGAGATAAAGCCCCATTTTGAGCTCCCTGCTCAACTGGGAGTCTGATTCTCCTTTTGGCCCTCTCCCCACCCCCTCACTCTTGCTCTCTCTCGCTCACTTGCTCACTCTAATCTCAAATAAATAATTTTTTAAAAAATATATATATACTATCAATATAGTATGTGAACTCTGATATTAATTTTTCAGAAAAAATTTACATATTTGGATTTTTGTTAATATTCTCAAGCTAGTTTATTTTTCACATTTAAAAATAGTCATAGTGGGACACCTGGGTGGCTCATTCGGTTAAGCGACTGTCTTTGGCTCAGGTTGTGATCTAAAATAAGTCTCATTTTCTTTATGCACAGGTACAAGAATAACAGTGGAAAATGATTGTTGTATTTTCAAGATCCTAAAAATAACAAGTATCCTTAGCTCACTTTTCTCTTGTTAAATAAGAAAATACTCAATATTAAGTTCATAGAAGATAAGAAATTCTGCTGACTAAAATGTAATTTCCTTTTTCTTTCTTTTTCCCCCAGAGCTTTCCGTGGTAAACACCTCTCTTTTATAGTTCGATTTCCAAACCAGGGCAGACAAGTTGATGACTTGGACGTATGGTCTCATACAAATGATACGATCGGTTCAGTAAGACGATATATTCTCAATCGTATTAAAGCCAATGTAGCTCATACAAAAATTGAGCTCTTTGTGGGCGGTGAACTGATAGATCCTGCAGACGACAGAAAATTGATTGGACAATTAAACTTGAAAGATAAATCAGTAAGTATCTGTAATTACTAAACTTTTCAAGGTCAAACCTGCTGGCACCTGGGTGGCTCAGTGTGCTAAGCTGTCTGTCTTTGGCTCAGGTCATGATCAACTCCCTGCTTAATGGGAAGCCTGCTGGAAGGTCTGCTTCTCCTCCCTCTCCCTGCTGCTGACCTGCTTATGCTCTCTATCTCTGTCAAATAAATGAATAAAATGTTGTTTTTTTTGTTTTTTGTTTGTTTGTTTTGGTTTTGGGGTTTTTTTTTTTTTTGAGGAATAAAAGTCAAACCTGAGATTATTTTTCATTTCACTAGTTAACATTTTATTCAGTAAATGTTAATTGAGCATTTGTTATTTGTGAGGCTCTTTATTAGGTATTTGGATTGTAACAGTAAGGCTGGCATTATGGTACTTAAAATATAGTAGAAGTTTTGTGAAAACAACTATTTGGTTGTTAGGCAGCACCTACAAATGGTATTTCTGGAAGTATTGCCTCTAGTTTGTTTTTTGGTATGTTACTAACTTCTGTTTTGAATATTTTTTTCTTGTCTTTGATACTAACTTAGTATATTATTTTCAGCTAATTACAGCCAAACTTACACAGATAAGTTCCAATATGCCTTCAAGCCCTGATAGTTCTTCTGATTCCTCAACTGGGTCTCCTGGAAACCATGGTAATCATTACAGTGATGGTCCCAATCCAGAAGTGGAAAGCTGTTTACCTGGGGTGGTAAGTAGATGGTTTGAGCTACTATATGCAAGGCATTAAGAGACTAAAGAGATACAGTTTGAGAATAAAGAATAAAGAAATCGAGTTTGGCCTCATATTGACCACCTGCCCCTTATTCCTCCCACCCAGCCCCCGGATGAAGTAGAAAATTCATGTATATATTTTAACTCCCCCAAAACTTAACTACTTATAGCTTAGGGTTGACCAGAAGCCTTACTAATAACACAACCAGTTGATGAACACGTATTTTGTATGTTATATGTATACTCATATTTTTACTGTATTATATAGTATATATATTATACTGTATTTTTATAATAAAGCTACAGAACAGAAAATGTTAAAATCATAAGAGAAAATACATTTATAGTACTGTCTTGTATTTGTGGGAAAAATGTGGTAAGTGAATCTGTGAAGTTCAAACTCATGTTGTTGAAGGGCTGGCTATATATAAAATAGGTTTTTTTGTTGTTTTTCCTTGAGAAGTTTACATTTAATATGGCAAAATATATAACTATATAGTTAACCATCAACTTCAGAGTAGATCTGAAAGGTGATCGTATTTTGGTTGGAATTTAAAACATTGCCCTCTAAATACAGTATGGTTAGGTTTATATAAAATGAATCTGTTATGCAGCTGAATTAAAACTCTTCACTATTGGGGCACCTGGGTGGCTCAGTGGGTTAAGCCTCTGCCTTTGGCTCGGGTCATGGTCTCAGGGTCCTGGGATCGAGCCACGCATCGGGCTCTCTGCTCGGCGGTGAGCCTGCTTCCTCCTCTCTCTGCCTGCCTCTCTGCCTACTTGTGATCTCTCTCTCTCTCTCTCTCTCTCTGTCAAATAAATAAATAATAATAAAATCTTAAAAAAAACTTCACTATATAAACTTAGAAAAATAGCACTGTATCTTGATTCATACCACAGAAGTGAATCCTTTGTTCACAACTGTTTCTATAGGATGTGCAGTCTTTTTCAAGTTGTCCTTAACATATCTTGTACCTAAGGAAACCGTGATTCCTCCCTTCCCTCACCCTCTCCTTCCACCCCTCCCCAAAAGAATTTTAATGGCTATGATAATAACCAGCCACTCCAGTGTCAGAAGAATGGGCTTCTTAAAACAGTTGGATTAGGAATTTAACTGTTAGCAGGCATGATAGCTTTTGGCATATATGGAGTATAACTTATATGTATGAGAGAAATAATTAATAAAAGAGCTGCCTCACAGAAATTACTGGAGATAGCTTGGGTAATATATTCAGTCTGTATCCTGAAGGCTTTCTACAGGTGGGATGATGGGTAAGAGAGGCCATTTTAGAGAGAGTAGCAATGACAGAAGCAGAAGTGTAGAAATTACTTACTTAGCTGTTTTGGTGGGGGGGGCATGTAATTTACAGTTAAGTATGTTGTATATTTTGTATTCTAGATAATGTCACTGCATCCCAGATACATCTCTTTCCTTTGGCAAGTTGCAGACTTAGGCAGCAGCCTAAATATGCCTCCTCTTAGAGATGGAGCAAGAGTACTTATGAAGCTTATGCCACCAGGTAAGGTTTTTATATCTGTAATGTTGATTAAATACACGCTGGACCATAACAGGGTATATTAACAAATTCTCTGTCTAGATGGAATATGCTTTGTTATGTAGACCACATCAGGAGTTGGCAAACGACAGCTCACCAGCCAAATTCAGCCCACTGCCTGATTTTGTATAGCCTAAGAGCCAAGGATGGCTTTTACATTCTTAAATGGGGAGAGGGGGCGAATCAAGAGAATATTTTGTGCCTCATGAAAATTACATGAATATTTTTTTAAGGTTTTATTTATTTATTTGACAGATCACAAGTAGGCAGAGAGAGAGAGGAAGGGAAGCAGGCTCCCTGCTGAGCAGAGAGCCTGATGTGGGGCTCGATCCCAGGACCCTGGGATCATGACCTGAGCTGAAGGCAGAGGCTTTAACCTGCTGAGCCACCCAGGTGCCCCTGAAATTTTTATTTTAGTGTCCTAAACTTTTTTTTTTTTTTTTTTTTTTTTTTTTTTTTTTAAGATTTTATTTATTTATTTGTCAGAGAGAGAGAGGAGCGAGAGCAAGCACAGGCAGAGTGGCAGGCAGAGGAAGAGGGAGAAGCAGGCTCCCTGCTAAGCAAGGAGCCCAATGTGAGACTCGATCCCAGGACGCTGGGATCATGACCTGAGCTGAAGGCAGCTGCTTAACCAACTGAGCCACCCAGGCGTCCCAGTGTCCTAAACTTTTATTAGTGTGCAGTCCTGCTCATTTATTTACATACTAACTGTGGCTAGTTTTGTTTTAAAATAGCAGAGCTCAGTGGTTGTGGCCGACACCCTATGGCCCGCAAAGCCTTAAATCTGTCTGACCTCTCTCTGCACTGTATTATGGGCCATGTGTCATCTGTGGCACTGTTCCTCTTTTATTCCTTAGAAACAACCACTTCAACGTTCAGCTTTTTTCTCATATGTGTCTATACCATTATATCTATAAATAAACCTTGTCCAACTATGTCTTTGTCAATTTTAGATACCTACTGAGTTCCTATCGTGGGATGAAAACTTAAGTCTTATTCTCAAATTCTTCCCATTTTTGCTTAAATTCTTACCTAAAATTGATAATAAAATGTAAATTTACATTTCAAGAGTGTGTGAAAAGTAGTTCGCCTGGATTACTGACAACTTTTTTTTTTAACTGGATATAATAATGTCTCCTTTTTGTTCTCTTAGTTTTCTGTACACCTAACAGATTCATCCCATGTATCTTCTAATAACTTCGCAAAATAATTTCCCATTATTATTTGTATTAGATAATCTGTCAGATTTCACTGTTTTCTGGAGCTTTTCTTCTTCCTCCTCTCATCTGTTTGTTCTTTTCCTGCTGTACAGCTACTGTTGTAGGACTTCTATGTTCACCTTTTCCATAGCAGAGTCCCTGTTCTCAGGTTCTTAGGTCTTGGGCCTTTCTTGAAATTTTTTCTCCCCTCCTCCCACAAGGATGTTCTCCTTACCCTGCTTGAGCTGTAATACCCTAGTCTAGGCAGCCCTTTCACATAGAGTTTAAACAGCACTAATAAAAATAATTTGACTCTTCAGAAAGAGCTTGAACAGCCCACCAGGTAGTTGATTGTGGCTGAAGGCTGCCTTAGCAGATAATGAAAAGGCATGAGACCAATAGAAAGTGCTGACTTGGTAGTGCTGGGATAACACAGGGAGAAGTGGAGCTCTGAGACAGATGGGCTGCCATTAAAGTGTGCCCAGAACAAACACCCGTGAAGAGTCCTAAAAGGCTGGGAGTGCACCTGTCAGGATGAGCTCTGTGTGCAGGTGCTCACTTTTCATTTTCCTAACAAGTTAAAAGGGCCTCTTGCTGTACAGCTGCCAGGCCAAGGGGTTTTCGTTAGGTTGGTTTTGGTTTTCGAAAGTTGCACTTCTGCTGCTGTACTGGCACCTTCTGCATTATACTGACACTCTCTTATTTGCCACTTGAATATGAGCTAATTGGGGTTTTAGAAACGTGTAACAAGGTAACAGACTTGACTTACTTCCCTGAAGGTTGATACTGATAGGTGCTTTATTTTCTTCTGTTTCCTGCTTGTCTCTTATTTTTGAAGAGTACCTTTTTTCCTGTTAAAAACTAATTTTCGGGGGGCACCTGGGTGGCTCAGTGGGTTAAAGCCTCTGCCTTCGGCTCAGGTCATGATCTCAGGATCCTGGGATCGAGTCCCGCATCGGGATCTCTGCTCGGCAGGAAGCCTGCTTCCACCTTTCTCTCTCTGCCTGCCTCTCTGCCTACTTGTGATCTCTGCCTGTCAAATAAATAAGTAAAATCTTTAAAAAAAAAACAAAAACTTATTTTCAGTTCACCTGAGTGTTGTGTGACTGCCTCTGGCTCGGGTCATGATCCCCAGGGTCCTGGAATCGAGTTCCACATCAGGCTTCCCGCTCCATGGGCAGTCTGCCTCTCCCTCTGCCTCCCACTTACCCTGCTTGTGTTCTCACTTTTTCTCTGTCAAAATAAATAAACTCTTTTAAAAAATAGATAAAATAAAAAGTTAATTTCTTATTAAGTAATTTGAAACTTAGAGCAGTACAATCTCATTTACCCTTCCCCAGACTCAATAGTTGTTAACATTTTGCTATATTTGTTACGTCATTCTGTGGTAAGATTTTTTTCTGACCTTTGGAGAACAAGTTGTAGATACCCTTTTTATCCCTAAATACCTATTGCTTTATAGGAACAAGGACATTCTCTTCAAATTGCCACAGTATTAATCAAAATCAGAAAATACAGCATTGGGCACCTGGGTGGCTCAGTTGGTTAAGCAACTGCCTTCAGCTCAGGTCATGATCCCCAGAGACCTGGGATGGAGTCCCACATTGGGCTTCCAGCTCCGTGGGCAGTCTGCTTCTCCCTCTGACCTCCCTTCTCATGCTCTCTCTCTCCCAAATAAATAAAATTTTTTTAAAAAGGAAAATATAGCATTGATTAATTTATAGACCTTAGACATAATAACTAATTTTCCCCATAATAAACCTTAAAACAATGTTTTCTGGTTGAGAATCCAGTTCAGCTTCTTATATTGCATGATTCATGTGGTGTCTTTAATCTGGAGTTCCTCAGTCTTTCACTGTTACGAGTTTGATGGTTTTGAAAAGCACAGATGAGTTGTGGTGTGAATGTGTCTCCTTGGGTTTTGTCTGTTCCTGATGTTACATACAGATTGTACATTTCTCTCAGAATACCACTTACATGATGCTCTTTCTCAGCATTATACCAGGAGGCATACGTCCATTTGTCCTTCATTGGTGACATTATCCCAGATCACTTAATTGATGTCTGCAGGTTTCTCCTCTGTAAAGTTACTTTTCCTTCTTTGGAGAGATGTTTTGAGACTCTGTAACTCTTTTCTCATCAGACTTTTACTTACTGGTTTAACCATTCCTTGTGATTATTGCTTGAATCAGTTTTTCCTGTAATGGTTGCAAAATGGTGATTTTACTTAACTTGATCATTCTTTCTACATTTACTGGTTGGCAACCTTATTTGTGATGTGTTTTATATATATATAGCCCAAGATGTTTAAAGCTCATCTAGTACTTTAATCCTAGCCCTGGAATCAGCCATTACTCCTTTCTGTGAGAGAGGGTATTTAGAAACCAGAAACTTAGTACTACTGGGGTGTCTTGTTTCCAGGCCTTTTCATTAAACTGAGGAAGTAATACATATATATATATGTTTAAGATTTTATTTATTTAAGAGCAGAACCAGGGGAGAGGGAGCAGCAGACTCCCTGCTGAGCAGGGACCCTCATGGAAGGTTTAATCCCAGGACTCTGGGATCATGACCTGAGTCAAAAGCCCAACCGACTAAGCCACCCAGGTGTCCCTACCTAGAATATTTTTAAATCCAGCAAGACATTCTCAGATACAGCCTATGAATACGTTTATTTTTAGAGACTAATTTGGTTTATATGTTAGAAGTCTTGGACCTTAGTGGTTCTGCTTGTGGGATTTTTTTCCTGATGAAATAAATAATTGTGAAGATTTAGCTGCTAGAATCCTCAGTGTTTAAAAAAACAAAACAAAACAAAAACTGGGAAAAAACCTAAATGCCCAATAATAGAGATTAAACTCATAAAGTGACATAATGTTATTTTAATCACAAAAATAATACAGGGGATGAATATTTAATGACCTGAGAAGCTATTCACAAATGTTTGATTATAAGAAATTTATATTTTATTTAGTTAGGTGTCACTATCCCTTCAGAATAGGGAAAACCAATAGTTTTAATATAAACTGAAGATTTTTTTTTTTAAGATTTTTTTCATTTTGTTTTTAAGTAATCTCTATACTCAGCGTTGCTCCTCGAACTAATAACCCTAAGGTGAAGAGCCACATGCTCCACTGAGTCAGCCAGACAGCCCACAAACTGAAGATTTTTTGATAAGATAGTTCTAGGCTATTTCCAGGCCTATAAAATTAGCTTGCCATATTATGGCAATTACAGTAATTTTCAGTTACCTTTATTCTTCAAAAAAAAAGCTTTTAATTTTTTTTAAAGCCATCTTATTGATCAAGTGGTATTTTAATCATAGTGCATTTACCTTGGAAATAATTTGATGGTAATAAAGTACTTTCTAAAGTTGATTGACTATTCTTAAGTTCGAATGTTTGGTAACGCTGAATTGTATCATGTGGTTTTCAAAGTATTTATTTTCACTGTGATTTAAAAGGAAGGTGGGGGTGCCTGGGTGACTCAGTTGGTTAAGCATCCAGCTTTTGGTTTTGGCTCTGGTCATGAGATTGAGTTCCTGAGTTGCACATGGGGCTCTACATTCAGCATGGTGTCTGCTTGAGATTCTCCCTCTTGAGATTCTCCCTCTACCTCCCCCTCTCCATATAAATAAAATCTTTAAAGAAAGAAACTGGGTGGGGCGCCTGGGTGGCTCAGTGGGATAAAGCCTCTGCCTTCAGCTCAGGTCATGATCCCAGGGTCCTGGGATCGAGCCCCACATCGGGCTCTCTGCTCAGCAGGGAGCCTGCTTCCTCGGCTCTCTCTGCCTGCCTCTCTGCCTGCTTGTGATCTCTCTGTCAAATAAATAAAAATCTTTTTTAAAAAAAAAGAAAGAAACTGGTGTTTTAATACTGTGGGGGGGGGCGGAGGATAAAAAGAAAACCCTGTGCTTACTTTGAGGTAAACATTAATGACTGTAGGTTTCTCCTACTCAAAACTAGAGTGTTTCTATGAAAACTTTTGTAAGCCAAAATGGTGTAAAACCTTTAAAGAAGCAGTTACCACTGGTTTATATGGAAATTTTTTTAGAGTGTTCCCACACCCAGATAGTAACTTCTTGGGCTTTTCTGATACCTTAGGACACATCTTATTCTTTTTTTTTTTTTTTTTTTATAGTCATTTAAATACTTTATTACACAACTGTATTCACATAAATTAGTTCCCTGGGTTCTGGAGACCCATGAGGGAGCAGGACTCCCCGGGGACGGGGCAGCATGCTGCCCGCAGACCCCGGCGCCTGCTCCCTTCTCCCCGCACATTCTCGGGACACAGATGGCGGCCACACACGCAGGTGCCCGGTTCCCCTTGCATCCGACAGAGTGGGAGGCCTGGACCTGACCGCGCTGCCCTTCCCAGGTTCAGGACTGTGGCGGAGTCCAGGGGGCATCCAGCCCCCACAGAGAGCAAGGGGTGTACAGCGGCACCCCGTGGACACGTCCCTCGTGCCTGTGAACCAGGGAGTGAGGCTGGAGTTGAAAGTTGTGAAAACACGGGGGATTTGGGAACACATCTCGGGTTGATGATTTAACCGCGTTTTAAGTTATTGTTCAGATGCAGCTGACACCCTACACTGCGCTGGTTTCGGGCCCACAGTGCCCGGATCCGGGATTTGTCTACACCGCAGGACGACCCCAGCCAGCCTCGTGCCGTCCGCCAGCGGTGACGGGGTTTCCTTCTTGCGAGGAGAGCTCGTAAGATCCACCCTAGGTGGCTCGCGGACACGCCACGGAGCGTCCCGGTGCGGGCATAGGACACATCTTATTCTAATGGATGCACAAAATAAGAAAAAGCACAAAAGCTCACAGAGGCAGCCCAAAACTCTGGTGTCTTGATGCTGAATGTCACTCCCAGGGAAGGAGCTTTGCGGGGCCACTTTCTCTGCTTGGGGGTGCACACTGCCTCTTGAACAACTTTCTGCAAAATAAACACTGAATGCTATTTTTGCTTTTTGCCTCTTTTCATAAAAGCAAGAATCCTCTTTGGATTTCTTGTGGCTAATGGAAAACAGGTGCTATTATAGGTCTTTCATGACAGTGAAGTGGTGTTAGGCGAGGTGCCTATATTCCTTCTTTTTTTTCTTTCTGTGTCTTTCCTTTTACAATTCAGTTTCTAAGGTACCACTAAGCTCCTTTCAATAAAATAGAGCAGTTAATGCATAGTGTCATGAGGGTGAACAATAGAGAAGTTGGAAGGAAGAGCTTCTAATTTTTTATCTTTTGTTATCTCGATAAGGATGACTTCCTTTTGAAGTGTACTATATTTTTTAGATTTCCAGTGGTCGTGGAGGCATGTTGATTTGAGGTCTCTGACTGGGTGAAGACCGCCTCCTTCATGTTTGGGTTGACTGATAAGAAAGTCCTAGTTCGTAGTTATTCTTTTTTTTTTTTTTTTTTAAATCTAGATCCAGCTATTTCTTGTGAGGTATGAGCCTATAAGTCAAATGAATTGATAGTTATGCCGTACTGAAATAATCTTCAAAATACCAAAAGTGAAATTCTGTGAATGCATGGATTATGTTGTGTTTTAGACTGTGTCTCCTATTTTCTTACAGATAGCACAACAATAGAAAAGTTAAGAGCTATTTGTTTAGATCACGCCAAACTTGGAGAAAGCAGCCTTAGTCCATCTCTTGACTCGCTTTTCTTTGGTCCTTCAGCCTCACAAGTGCTATACCTAACAGAGGTTGGTTTTTTCCCTTTTGAATGTATTTCATGTTCTTTGAACTTGACCTTTTTATGTGGTAATCTGAAGAAGATGGATAACACTTATAATGAAATACTTTTTAGATGGTCAAGAATTTCTTAGCAATGATGATAGGGAAAATGGAAGTTATCTTTTTAAACCCTTTTAATACAGTCCTTTTCTTCTTCCAGGTAGTCTATGCCTTGTTAATGCCTGCTGGTGCACCTCTGGCTGATGATTCCTCTGATTTTCAATTTCACTTCTTGAAAAGTGGTGGCCTGCCCCTCGTCCTGAGCATGCTAACCAGAAATAACTTCCTACCAAATGCAGATATGGAAACTCGAAGGGGTGCTTACCTCAATGCTCTTAAAATAGCCAAACTGTTGCTAACTGCCATTGGCTATGGCCACGTTCGAGCTGTGGCAGAAGCTTGTCAGCCAGGTGTAGAAGGCGTGAATCCCATGACATCGGTAATATGCTTTTTAAAAAATGTCTTATTTATACTAATAAATGGTAATTTTTTAAAGTTTGAGTTCAGAGTTTATTCAGAATGTTTTGAGTTCCTTTCCAGTGGTATCTTATTTTAGAGGTTTCTGTCTCTTAAATTTGTATGAAAAGTGAAAATGCTTTTTACTGGCTATACTCTTAATTTAAGAGGACAGTTCCTCCCTACGCCTTTAAACCCTGTTTGGCTTTCAATTACTTTAAACCTGATAAAAACTCTGCATCTCTTACTAACTTGTACCTGGCAGATATATGAAGATACAGGTGGTAATAAGAAAGTTGTAATTGACTTAGCCTGTTGCCACTCTCTTCCCACCTTGCTAGGCTTAACCTCCACTTCTGAGCTTATTCCAACTGTGGACTCTGTCTTTGCCTTGGTGGCATCCTTGATCCATCTCACCAAAAGTTCTCAAGACATGCCATAATTCAGTGTCTACTTAGGAGAGGTCAAACTATGCACTTAATTCTGACTAAAATTTGAGGTCTTCTATATTCATCACAAGTGATTGTTTACTAAGTTTACGGATAGAAGAGAAGAGCTCTAGGAATTCTATTTTTTATAAATAGCTTAGGTCTTAATCTGGAAATTGGAATGTTGATTAGATATGTGATGTTATATTAAATATGTGATATGGAATAATACCACATATATTGTCATAATAGCAAATGTCAGTAGCTGTGACTGAAATTCCTTAACGTTTCTCCCTTTCAAAGAGGAAAATGATGAGCAGGGGAAATGGGAGCAGGGTCTGCCCAGAAGCACACATGTAAGAGGTGTGGAGTAATTTATTAGTCTTTAGGTAGGGGTTGGAGTCATCACTTCAGTTTATCACTTATGTCCACAAGTTACACTGTGCCCACATGTAGAGACACAAGTTGAATTAATCTAGAATGGGTATTTGCAGAGGGACATGTAGCACCTGGTTGCGTAAGAAAAAGTGGAGGCCCACATTGTTGGCAATACGGACTGCTTTTTGTTTAAGTCACTGCAGTTCTACCATGTGTATATATGGAAGGGAGGTCATTTGGAGGGAGTGGCAATGGTGGGGAGCATGTGGTTGGTTGGGTCTGGTTCTGTACAAATTACTGACTTCAAGCAAAATGGTTGTTTTTTCAGGTCAACCAAGTTACTCATGATCAAGCCGTGGTGCTACAAAGTGCCCTTCAGAGCATTCCTAATCCATCATCTGAATGCATGCTTAGAAATGTGTCCATTCGTCTTGCTCAGCAAATATCTGATGAGGTTAGTATTAAACTTTCTAAGCTGTCAAATCCTGCCATGTCTATTTCTATGTTTGACCCTCCGTTTAATTAAGAAATAACCCTTATCACAGCTCAAGGCTGAATTTTCCTAGGCCTACTCACTCTAATAACTGTCTCAGTCTAGAGTTCCCTTAACACGAATTTTGTCTGATACTAACGTTAGTACTTTCCGGTTTGAATCCTCTATGTACAGTAAACAACATCCTCTGAAAGTATATAATTCAGTCTTCACAAATGCAGGTATGTGTGAAACCACCATCATAATCAAGACACAGAACATTTCCATCATTCTGTATGTCCCTTTGCAGTCCCTTCCCTCTACCCCAGGTAACCAGTGATCTTTTGCCACTGTAGAATAGTTTTCATTTTCTAGAATTTTATACAGGTGGAATTCTACCTTGTGTGTTCCTATATATCTAGTTTCTCCCACTCTGAATAACGATGTTGAGAATTATCTGTGTTTTGTAAACCATTATTCCATTCCTTTTTGCTACCGAGTAGTATCCTGTTGTGAATACTTCACATCGTACACTTGGCAAAGGACATGTGGATTGTTTTCTTCTTCTGACTGTGAATGAAGCTTCTGTGACTTCTGTACAAGTGTTTGTGTGGACTTGGTTTTCATTTTTTATGGGTAAAAAAATGAGTAGAATGGTGGTGGGATCATCTTTGTAGTCTTTTTAAGATGCTTCTGAAAGTAATACAGGGCCAGATAATAACTTGGAGAGCATGCTTTGTGGTATTGCTGTTAAATGAAAAAAAAAGGGACAAAAGCAGTTGTTTTACAAGGAGAAACATTTTTTCTTTTCCAGTTATTATTTTACTCTAATACGCTATCATACCATTTTTATTGTGCATTGTCTTGCAGGCTTCAAGATATATGCCTGATATCTGTGTAATTAGAGCTATTCAGAAAATCATCTGGGCATCAGGATGTGGGGCATTACAGCTAGTATTTAGCCCAAATGAAGAAATCACTAAAATTTATGAGAAGGTAAGTGTTACCTCAAAAATATTTTCCTTTTAATAATTGTGTGTGAGGCTGAATCATTACATCTGCTATCTTTACCAGTCATTTGCATCTTCATGGCTGACAATTAAATGGTAGCTATAGGTAAGATGAGAATACAGTAAAATTTTACTTTTGAAATAAAGTACTTCAGAATCCTGCCGTAAAGCTGCTTTTTAAAATATGAGACGATGTTTTTCTACTTCTCACTAGACTCAGATATGATCTCCTGTTGAATTTGCTTTTTCCTATTCTCCCCATTTTTCTTCTTTCATTATCTTTCTGTCCTATGTAAATTTTAGTTTAGTTAACTGTCAGCTGTGGTGTCCTGACATTTTAAACATTTTTGTCTGTGAAAGCAGTCAAAGGAGGGGCGCCAGGGTGGCTCAGTGGGTTAAAGCCTCTGCCTGCAGCTCAGGTCATGATCTCGGGGTCCTGGGGTCGAGCCCCACCTCAGACTCTGCTCAGCAGAGAACCTGCTTCCTTCTCTCTCTCCCTCTCTCTCTCTCTTTTTCTCTCTCTCTCTCTGCCCGCCTCTCTGCCTACTTGTGATCTTTGTCTGTCAAATAAATAAATAAAATCTTAAAAAAAAATAAAAAATAAAGCAGTCAAAGGTAGAAACCATGTCAGCCAGTTAGGTATCATCTCTGACCTTCCCTTAGATGAAGCAAATTATTTACAGAAGTGAGGCTGTGTTTAACTCCTTCATTTCTTATTATATATACTTATCCCTCATAATATTTATAATATTTAGAAGAGGAAATTAAATTTTAGGAATTTAGGGCTTGGTAGACCTTCCATTTTATGGCCAATATAACCCTGTTTTTCCTTGGATATATTTTAGAATCCTGTAGCATCTGTCTGGTACAGTTCCTGGGCATCCAACTAAGTTTTTTTGTTTGTTTTAAGATTTTATTTATTAGAGAGCATCAGTTGGGGGAGGGATAGAGGGAGCGGGAAAAGCAGGCTCCCCACCAAGCACAGAGCCTGATACGGGGCTTAATCCCAGGAGCTGAAAATCTTGACCTGAGGTGAAATCAGACACTTAACTGACTGAGTCACCCAGGTGCCCCCATTCAGCTGGTATTTGAATGCTTGTTCTTTTTTAGGCATGTATTGTAATCATCACTTTTTTATAAAATCGGATTAGAATTTACTAGCTACCTATCCTAGCATATTTTAGGTTGTAAAACCTTCCTGAACAATTGTCTAAGAAATTTGTTTTAGAATACAGTGGCACTGTAGGTACACTACCTTGTGGAACTAGTCTTAAGTGCCTAACTCTTGCAGTGCTAGAGTGTGCCTTAAGAAAGGAGTGATAGTTTCAGAAAGAAGATCCCTAGGAGCCTGAAGGACAGAGTAACAAGTGATATTCTCAGTGAGTTCCTTCATCATTCCTTGGGATATAGCAAAATACTGGAATTAGACATCACTATTCATTTCCATACTATCTCCGTACTATAATCATTTCCATACTATTCTTAAATGGGTCTCAAGTTGCAGGTAGAGAGGCTGAGGCCAAATGGTTTAAGTGAATCTGTAAGTTTTAAGCACTAACTTGAAGTTGTGTGAGATTTTTCTTAAATGCAACTCTAGGTAACTTGCCTCTGACCATAATTTTACAGACCAACGCAGGCAATGAGCCAGACTTGGAAGATGAACAGGTTTGCTGTGAAGCATTGGAAGTGATGACGTTGTGTTTTGCCTTGATTCCAACAGCCTTGGATGCTCTTAGTAAAGAAAAGGCTTGGCAAACATTCATTATTGACTTACTACTGCACTGTCACAGCAAGTAAGTATCTTTATAATTGTAAGAAACTTGATCTTTTGTTACACAGAAATGAATTTATGCTGGTAGAATTTGTTCCAGAAATCAAGTGTTTTTTGTCTCTATAGCATGATAGTGTTTAAGAAAAAATTTTTAACCACATTTTGCATAGACCTAACTTTGGTTTTAGTCTCTGCAAAATGGCAACATCAAATCTCAAAGTAAAACTAATTTTTTCCCTAATTTCAGAACTTAGTTTCACTCAAGAGATAAATATTTTAGCCCATTTTAAAATTTTGGTTGGTAAGATTTCACTTAAACAGGACATTCGCCTCCTGTCTTGGATATGTAGATGCCAGGTTTTTTGGTTTGTTTGCTTCAAGAGAAATTGTTAATTCAGTATGAAATTCACAAGTCAGGGTTATGGTAAGAACTTTCGCATTTTATAATGAGACCAAAGAGCAAATAATTAAAGCTCTTGTTTTCAATTCAAGGTCATTTAATCAATGGCATAAGCTTTGTTTTGGACTTCTTTTTGTGCAAGTCGATCAGATTTGTAGAAAATGTTGGTTTCCATCCTCATGTCATTCTAATCCTGACCTTCATGGGCTAACTCTTTAAACTGGAGCTCTAATTAGTGTCACTGTTACATGTAATTAATCTGTCTTCCATATATCATGTGAAAAGAAAGAAGATGTTCACTTTGGTTATTTTTTCAGATGCCATTCATTCAACAATGACAGAAATCACTGATGAAATTAATGTAACGTCAAAATAAAGTTTGCTGAAATAAAACCTAGTGATAAAGCCTTTTTTTAAAAAAAGTACATTGATGGAATAGATATAACTTGCTCATTCCAGAGGATGCTGTAAAGTGACATAGTGGGAATGTCTACTATTTTAGAAGTTCCTTGGTAATTTCCTTGAAATTCAGAAAGTCCTTTGACAGGATTCCCCGCTCCCAGTAAGGTTGTGCTTGTTACCTCCTTGAAAAGAAGTGATCATCATGAGATAACCCAGTATGTGAAGAAAACAGGTTGAGTGAGTCTGGTTCTATTTGATAACAAGTCAGGGGGAAGGAGGAGGGGAAAGAGGATTATCTGAAGAGTTTTAGTGAAGTCAAACCCAGAGGTAGCAAATGTTTTATTCTATATTGATTCTCAAATCTTAAATTAGGAACTTTCTTCACTTTCTTGGCTGCACTTGGTTTTACGGGTTTTCTGCCCTCTAAAGACCTTTATGAACATTCCCCCCTTACAGGAAATTAGACCCAGTTCCCTCCTCCTTCCCCTGAAACTTCACACAAGGAAGTAAAGTTCTGTAGGCAGTACTTTATCTCAGTATGCCTCTGTTCTCTTAGAGTCAACAACAGATAGGGTCTTCTAAGAGCAAGATCTTTTTGAGCTTTAGGTATCTGATTTTCTTCTCTCAGACTGGCCCTCATCCTGCCCTGCAGGTTCAAAGGCCCTTATTTCCCGTTTGTAAGAATTTGACAGCAAACCTGACTTGAACATAATTTGTTGGCATTACCTTTCTGAAATCTGAATCCCCAAACACATCCAGCCCCAATAGTTTCAGGTGCAGGATTGTGACCCTGCGTACATGAGGCTGCCCCTCAGGTAGAGTTTATACTTGCATAATATTACTAACCAGTATACCTGTGTACAGTGCATATCCCGTGTTTGCTTTCTCCCTTAATTCTGTAGCAGCTCACTAGACCGCTGCTGGCTGAACTAAGGCTGAAGTTACAGGACAGTGTCCTGCCTCTTGAGTTCTGACTTTCTGCCACATGATTATACTCTATGTAATTATACTCTATGAGCAAATTAATGTGAGAGTCTACCATGTGCTTGACAAAGTCCAAAGTCAAATAAGATAGTTCTTGCACTCAAGGAGCTTGGAGAGAAATCCGTGTCATAGGCAAAGTACTCTAGGAATTAGAAGAGGAATAAGTTACTTTCTACCCAGAAAGAGCAGAAGTGAAGGTACTTTGCCGAATGTAACGTGAGCTCAGGTTTGGGTAAGATTTATATGTGCATACAAATGGAAGGTGGGCATTGGCGATGCACCCCCTCAACCTCAGTCCCCATTATGGTATTTTTACTTCTGTGTTGTTGGACTCCGTTCTTCCTCCTCCATACTGCTTCTGCCCTCGTCTAAACAACCAGCATCCATTGCCCAGACAACTGCAATATCCTTAATCTTCCCACCCCAGTGCTTCACCGCTAAGGTATTTTATTCTCATCCTGTGACCACACTGCAGACAGCATGATCTTTGCCAAGCATGATCCCATTGTTTTCCTGGTAACAAGTCTTTCCATGCCTTCCCAGTGCCTTTGAGTTAAGTCTAAACATTCAAATTTGGTTTATAAACACTCCACAATTTGACCCTTGCTGCTGCTTGAGTTTCAACTTCAATGCTACAATGTTTTCTGAAAAGTCTCCCAGACCTTTGTTTTGGTGAGGTCTGTTTCCATATCGTATCACTACACTTACTATAATCACTAACAGTTTGATCGAAATTCCGTTAGGTGGCTATGGTTTTTTTCCAGCCCCTCTAGCACCGTTTGCCTTATACTCTACCTATTTATTCAACTCCTTTATGTTACCTGACATTGATGAAGACATTTGAGTTTGCCACCCCGGCGTAGTGCTTTCAGAGAAAAGCTGAGTAGTCTGGTTTGATGTGTGAAAGAGGAGTACAGGATAATACTGTAAAGGAGATTAGTGGGAGTCAGTTTGCAGAAGGCCTTTGATGCTGAGACCTAAGTACTCGATTTTAATATGGTAGGCAGTTTTAGTAAATAATTTAGCGAGTACCTATTATGTATCAGCAGGCACTATCCCAGCTACTAGGGATATAGCAGTAATCAAAACAGAATGTCAGCCTTCTTGGAGTCTACAAACTAAAGGAGATGGGAGTATGAAGGAGCAAACATGTGGGAAAATATATAGTATGTTAGTGATAAATGCTATAGAGAGAAATGAAGGTGATAAGGAATAGTGGGGAGTCAGTAGAGTTTGGTTTTGACCTTTAAACAAACCTCTGAAAGAGGAGGGTAGTAATCCCTGTAGATAATGGAGGAAGCATGTTTCAGCAGAAGGAACAACAGATGTAAATGTCCTGAGGCATGAACGTGCCTGTATCTTAACAGCAAGGAGACGAGTGTGGCTTGAGCAGTGAGTGAGGGATAGGCAGCTGTAGGAGATGAGGTCAGAAAGTTAACAGGCAGCCTGCTTGGATTTTATGGATCATTCTAACAACATGGATTGTTTTTTTTACCAGGAGATAGGCATTCCGTTGTAGGGTTTTGAGCAGAGGAATGGTGTGCTCTGAGTTACATTTTGAGTTTATTCTGGTGGTTTTGTTGAGAATAAGTTCTAGAGTGTCAGAAAAAACTGTTAATCCAAATAGAAGATGACAGTGGCTGGAAGTATGGTAGTATTAGAAGTGGTAAGAAGTGAGATTTTGAATATGTCATAAAGATAGAGGCCACACGATTTGTTGTTGATAGGCATGTGTTTCTTTGAAAGCACTACGGAAATCTACATGTATGAGAGAGATTTCATCAGGAAATCACAAATACTTACTTTATAGATCCCTACTTTGAGCTGCATACCTGAGGTTTTAAAAAATAACTAGGACAATGTGAATGACATATACCTGTGAAAATCTAAAGTTATAGATTTTCTCCCCAAAAAACTTAGGTACTCCTGACTTTGGTTTACTTGGATTCCATCAGATTTTACCCACCGGCTTCTAAACACCATGTACAGGTTTCCAGAAAACTACACAAAATGCCGTCTGTCAAGTCCTTTACACTGAGCTATAAATTTGGTTCTAAGCTGTCAGCTAGCACAGACAAACATGGTAGTTTCCCATGAAATGTAGTTTGCAATGTCCGTAAGATACACAGGTGCTTAGCAGGTACTTGTTAAGCATCTCCCCATATGTCAGGCATTGTTCCAGGTGTCAGAAACCCTGGTGTCACCAAGGCCCTGCCCTGAAAGAGTTTACTTTCTAATGGAGTCGTAGATCACTGTTTATGAACAAACAGCATCTGTGCATGTGGTAATGGAACTGATTGTTAGCACCTGTTATACGTTGGTCACTATTCTAGGTTCTTGAGGCACAGCAGTAAATGGGTGATCTTTCTACCCTCTTGGACATTTGCTCTGGTCACATGTATATAATATATATATATATATTTTAAAGGATTCATAGTCATCAGGTAAAGTTCTCACTACTGGACCAGAGACAAGTTCTGCCCATGGGTCATCATAGAATATTGTATAATACAGTGGTTTTCGATCTTTAGTGCACATTCAAGTCACCTGAAGGATTCATTAAAACACGGGTTGTGGGTAGCACCCCCAGTATTTCTAATTCAGCAGGTCCGGAATGGGGCCTGATAATTTGCATTTTTAACAAGTTCCCAAATGATGCCAGTGCTGCTGATCTGGGGACCATGCTTTGGGAGCCACCAGAATAATAAAAGGGAAATTGCAGCATCATCCTTCCTATAATTGCAACAGAATTCCTACAGAGTTGTGTGCCCCAAAGCGCAATGAGTAAAAATTCTGTGGACGGCCCAAAAGATGTGTAAGGCTCACTGTAAGCCATCTTGTATTCAATAGAGCATTTCCAGCCTATTCTAAGAAAGGGATGTTACAGGGTATCCCTCAAACTCTTCTAGGACAATTTGAGGTTCCTGCCATACAGCCGATACATGTGTTCCAGGTTGTGGGCTTCAGGGGGCGTTACCTTGTATCCTTGTGTTTTTAACTTTTAATTCACCTTTATTCCACCCCATCCCTCCCTCCAAAGACAGGCCAGTGTTAGAATCTTTTTGGGTTTTTTGTTTGTTTGTTTTACTTCGTGCAAATAATATGTTAAATGTGAAACACTTTTGTTTCAGAACTGTTCGCCAGGTCGCACAAGAGCAGTTCTTTTTGATGTGCACCAGATGTTGCATGGGACACAGGCCTCTACTTTTCTTCATTACTCTGCTCTTCACCGTGTTGGGGGTGAGACATTTTTTAATATGCTTCTCAGTGTGATTAATTCTTTAAACAAGGCATTCAGGAATTTATGGTTTTAGCTTATATTCAAGTTAGAACAGCCTGTATTAAGTAAATATTCTTAACTTCCCATGTTATTTTACTCTGCTCTAGTTATCTCTAGTTTTTAAAAAAGTGGCTTCTTTGCATGGACATGTGAATTCATATTATTTTACTTTATTGTTTCAGAGCACAGCCAGAGAGAGAGCTAAGCATTCAGGCGACTACTTCACCCTTTTAAGACACCTTCTTAATTACGCTTACAATAGTAATATTAACATACCCAATGCTGAAGTTCTTCTCAATAATGAAATTGATTGGCTTAAGAGAATTAGGGTAAGTTACCTTTGAATACTATGTTTATTGTATCAATAGAGTGTTTTTTTAATTGATAGTTTGTAGTTTTGAGCATTTTGGTTAAGTGAAAAACACCAAAGAGTAATAAAAAGGACCAAAGAATATACTCTGTGATGGTGGGTCTTAGTAACTCATGATTCACGGAATGAATGCAAAACAAAATGCTTTGTTTTACTTGGAGCTTGAAATACTGATTTTTCAGCCTCTTACATTTTAGAATCTTGGGCCTTTTTGTAAATTTTCATCTTGTAAAACCTTTGAATTGTTCTCATCAAAAATCAGTGTGTATGGGTCGCCTGGGTGGCTCAGTGGGTTGAGCCTTTGCCTTCGGCTCAGGTCATGATCTCAGGGTCCTAGGACCAAGTTCGGCATCTGTCTCTCTGGTCAGTGAGGAGCCTGCTTCCCCTCCCTCCCCCCACCCCGCCCCACCTGCCTCTGCCTGCTTATGGTCTCTCTCTGTCAAATAAATAAGTAAAATCTTAAACAACAACAACAACAAATCAGTGTGTACAGACTAGCACTTAAGTCTTGATGTTAACACCGAATACTCTTTACTCAGAATTGTATGAGAATTTATTTCTGAAGAGATATGTAGCTTCTATATCCCTAAAAGTTCTGAAGATAATTTCATCTTGCTTAGAAGGGAGAGCTTTGGCAAGAAAAAGAGTCTTAACGATAGAGAACAAACAGATGGTTACCAGAGGGGAAGTGGGGGGAATAGGTGATGGGGGTAGTAAAGAGGGCCCTTGTCATGATGAGCACTGCATGATGTATGGAAGTGGTGAATCACTATATTGTACACCTGGAACTAATACTATACTGTATGTTAACTATACTGGATGATTGATTTTTAAAAATAAAAATAAATTTTAAAGAATGGAAAGGTTTGGGGGAATTACTTCATGTGTTTCTAGTTCTCTCATTGTGACTTCTCTCTCCCTCCTTACCTCCCTTCCATAAATTAGACATTTGTTATTTTTTCTTTGGCAGGATGATGTTAAAAGAACAGGTGAAACAGGTGTTGAAGAGACAATCTTAGAAGGTCACCTTGGGGTAACAAAAGAATTACTGGCCTTTCAAACCCCTGAGAAAAAGTATCATATTGGTTGTGAAAAAGGAGGTGCTAATCTCATTAAAGTAAGTTTTGTCCAAAACTAGATATCTTGACCTCCTCGATGCTTGTTACCAAATCTGTCTGGCTGATTTATAATATCATGTCTTTGGTGTATTATCTTGACCTTTTCTGCCTTCTTTTTAAGAATCTTTATAGAGGGGCACCTGGGTGGCTCAGTGGGTTAAGCCTCTGCCTTCAGCTCGGGTCATGATCTCAGGGTCCTGGCATCGAGCCCTGCATCGGGATCTCTGCTAGGCAGGGAGCCTGCTTCCCCCTCTCTCTCTGCCTGCCTCTCTGCCTACTTGTGATCACTCTCTCTCTCTGTCAAATAAATAAATAAAACCTTAAAAAAAAAAATCTTTATAGAGGTTGCAGTGATTTTTTTAAATACACTTTTTCTGAATTTTGTGTGTAAATAAAACTACGTATTTAATAAAGTAAATACACACGTGAATTTTATTTTTTTTTTTTAAGAAAATCTGAATTTTTCATTTCAGTCTTTTTAAAACAACACATATTTGTGAGATTACATCATGTTTATCCTATTTCTTTAATGACTTTCTTCACATGTGTGGTAACTCAAACAAAAAGTATCATTTTAGTACATGTTATTTTTATTTAAAATTAGTGTTGGCACACATATGATTAAAGGAGTAAACATGGGGCACCTGGGGGCCTAGTCAGCTGAGCATCTGCCTTCAGCTCAGCTCATGATCTCAGGGTCCTAGGATCAAGCCAAGCACCACATCAGGCTCCCTGCTTAGCCAGGAGCTTGCTTCTCCTTCTCCCTCTGCCCCACCTCCCCACTTGTACTTTCTCTCTTGCTCTGCTCTCTCTCAAATAAATAAAATCTCTTAAGAAAACAAAAGAGTAAACTTATTTAAAATGTTAAGTGCTACAGTCAACTTGCTCTTAATTACTTAATCAGAAAAACTTGGTATATTTGTTAGTTGTAGTAAATAGTGTTTTGAAGTAGAATCTTTTTATTAGAGAATCCAAGTAAGTTTTCTCAGATGTAATGATAGCTTTAATTCTGACAAGTAATTTAACGTTATTTCCTTCCAAGAGACATTTCTTTCTTCCTTAAAAAAGATAAATGTATACACACAACTTTGTCATAAACATTATAGAAATAGAACTATATATAACATAGACATATGTAATTGCTAATACGTAATCCTTTTTTTCAACTTTTGTAGGAATTAATTGATGATTTCATCTTCCCTGCATCCAATGTTTACCTGCAATATATGAGAAATGGAGAGCTGCCCGCTGAACAGGCAATTCCAGTCTGTAGCTCCCCAGCTACCATTAACGCTGGTTTTGAGTTACTTGTAGCATTAGCTGTTGGCTGCGTGAGGAATCTCAAACAGATAGTAGATTCTTTGACTGAAATGTATTATATTGGCACAGCAATAACTAGTAAGTATACTAAAATGCAGTGTTTTGACAGATAATTCTCTAATTTGTTCAAATTCTATTTTCCTAATTATTTTTTAGGTAAACATCTTCCGCTCGTGTTTTTCTTTCAGCAACTAGCTTAACATTTGTAGGAGATAGATACATAATTTCACACAATTACAAGCAAAGAGTTTTGATGCAGAAAAATTTTCATGTGTTTTTTAAATGTCTTCTGTAGGGGTCTGAGTATTTAGCAAAATAAATTTCTTCTCCATCAAACCTAGAATAAAACCCAAACCACAGTAATAAGTAGTCAAAATAAATGGTAGAGTTCAAATTTAAAACTCAAGTTGCATTCCTTGAAATTCCTTGAAATACCTTTCAGGCCCTTACTTAGAAGCTCTTTAATATTATTTTCATATGAGCCCAAAGAAAATCTGGTTTTAAAAGATGAGAATAAGAGAAGATAACATTCTAATGCAGTTTAAGTCCTCAGGTAATGCTCACACAAAAGCCCTTGAGATAGACTTAATTAGACTCCAGATCGTAGAGATCTGGAACTGAAGCTCCAAAAGGATGAGGGGACAGTATTAAATGACTGGAAAAGCAGAAATAAGGAATCTAAGAAATAATTTAAAAGAAAACCATGTTTATCCTCAAAGCTTAAGGATATAATTGATTACAGTAAACATTTAAAAGCATGAGATTTTTTGATATGTTGTATTTCAGAAGATAAGGACATTTTTAATAACATTTTAGGAGATTCTGATTAAACTGCTTAAAAGTTTAGACCATTAAAAAAAAAAAGTTTTACCATTAGCTATTTATTCTACCAAATCTATGTATAATAAGGTGGAGGTTAAAAAGAGTCTTTTGTTTGTTCAGAGTTCTTTGTTTTGTTTTTTAACAAATCCACACATTTATTCATTTAATTTTCAATAAGCTTAACCACCTTCAAGGGGTATGGTATCACACAGATTCTGTGTCCCTTGGCCTTGCAGGAAGCTTGCTTTGAAATTTGGCATGAACCATGCCACTGCTTCCATGGACATGGGTAACCTCTCCCCAGATTCATCCAGTTTTGTTCAGTCTGCCACTGGGAGGCACCGTGTTGTCCTTTGCTTTGTATATGGGAGCACATCTCTTGCCTATATAGAATTGTTTTATCTTGGGCAGTCATCACCTTCAATTTTAAGATGAGTTGTTCGCTCTGGTTTTGGAGGGCCCTGCTACTAGCCAGCAAAAAGTGGCCTTGGACCACAGCCCTCTAGATATATTTGCTGTTTCAGAAGTCTTATTCTGAGTATCCCTTTATAGGCTTGAAGATGGCAGAAACAGGCTGCTTGTTTTTGAGTAGAACATGGTAAAAATTTGAAGTACCTAAGAAGCTACATACTAAAAACATTTCCTGCCCATTTTAGTCCGCGGCTCCCCTTTGATAGCTGTAACTATTATTGTCAGTTTGTGTCTGTCCTTTGAGCATTACTGTATGGAAAATCCACATGCAAAGTTTTTTTTGGTATAGTTTTTGTTTTTAACCACAGATTGACATATGGTATACACAATGTCTTCACTTTGTTTTCCCCTTAATATATCTGCAGTTGTTCCCTATCGACACATACATATCTGCCTAATTCCATTTTTTGGCTATATACTTTTTAATTGAGTATACTATAATTTATTTAACCAGTCCCATAGACAGTGATAATATTTTACACTATTTCCTGGTTTATACTACCAGGTAGAGGGAGACATAGAGTGATTTACAATTCTAAAAGACTTCTCAAATTCACTATTTCATCAGCTCCTCAAAATAACATTGCAGTTATAGGCAAAGCAGGTGTCACTGTTATTACATTTATTACAAAGGAAACGGAAGCTTACCTAAGGTGAAAAGAGCTGGTAAACAACAGAACCTGGATATGAACCCACATGGTCCTAGGATGCTTTAAAACTGAGCAAGCTATATAGTATATAGGTGTATTTATATTAACATTACATGTCAGAATGAATATGAAGACACTTTAAAGAACCTACAAAACTCGAAAAAAATTAAAGTTCATAATGACTGAACAGTAAAACTAAAAGTAAAAGGAACACATAGAGGGGCGTCTGGGTGGCTCAGTGGGTTAAGTGTCTGCCTTCAGCTCAGGTCAGAATCCCAGAGTCCCAGGATTGAGTCCTCCATCAGCCTCCCTGCTTCTCACTCCTCATCACCCCCACCCCCCGACTTGTGCTCGCTCGCTTGCTCTCTAATAAAATCTTTAAAGAGTAAAAATTAAAAAAATAAAGCGAGCGCATAGAAATTAGCATTATTAGCATAGAAATTAGCAAGGAGATTGTTTCTGACATTTCCATAGAAGCAGTGCTAGGTAAGACACGGGGTTTCAAATGGTGGGGTAAGAAACCTTATAGTGATACAGGTTGCTACATCCCTTCAGTTTGTTGAGGGGGAAACTTGTACTCAATGTACTGCTTCATCTGGCTGGGAAAGTAGTGGAATTGTTGGGAATGTTCACTTACCAGCTTACTAGAGCTAAAAGTGGACAAAATGGTTGTGTTTGTACTACAAGAACCTTTTCCCTTCTCTCAGCTTGTGAAGCACTTACAGAGTGGGAATATCTGCCACCTGTTGGACCCCGCCCACCTAAAGGATTTGTGGGGCTGAAAAATGCTGGTGCTACTTGCTACATGAATTCTGTGATTCAGCAACTCTACATGATTCCGTCCATCAGGAACGGTATTCTTGCAATTGAAGGCACAGGTAGTGATGTAGATGATGATATGTCTGGGGATGAGAAGCAGGACAATGAGGTAAATTTTATTTAGCATTTCTGTTTTCTGTTTGAAATTCTGCTACCAGATACTATCATTCTCTCTTACCGAGTCTTATACTTTTGTTGGACTTGTTGATACATATTTGAAAATAAAGCTGGAGTCTCCCAGCATGGACTGCTATGTCTTGACATAATCTGGTGCTCACTAGCTGCCAGATTTTACACTGCAGTTCATTTTCATGGTGGTACATATGTTTTAAAGCAGCAGTTCACATACTCAGTTTTTTTGTGTTAAGTGTTTAATATAATTTGGAGTTTGCATAATCATAAGGATCTTCATTTTTATAACAATTTAAATTATATTTTCACTATCCTACCTGATATTTTTAAATATATCTCCATTAATTTATGCTAAGTTGTACTCTTTGCCAGTTTCATTATCTGTGCTTGCTTTTAGGTTACTTTTACATTTGCCTCAGATCATAGCTCTTCTTGCTTAAGCAACAAACCTCTCTCTACCTCAGATGTCATGCAGTCTTTTGACAAAATTTAGGCTCCTTACTGAGTATGCATTGCACAGTAAAGCTATGGAAAAGTTTGGTTGTAGTGGCGGACCAGATTTGACGTAACTATGGCACAGCTCTTTCAAGAAGAGAATATTGCAAGACTTAGTCATGGTCATGTTTATATCCATCCTGTATTTCTTTGTTTTTATTTTATCTTTTCCTGTTCATGGTGTTGGTGAGAACTGCAGAGAGAAGCCAGAATGTGTTCTAATTGTAAATTGTCTTTGGTGGTTCTTTCCTCCTTCCCTCTCTTCAGTCACCACAGCGATTTGCTCTGAGGTAGTTTAATACTTAAAGGGCTTCTGAAACATACCTGTCCCAGTTCTTCCCCAGATCCACTGAACCATATCATCGCAGGGGGTAGGGTCTGAGCATTGTATACCTTTTTATAAAAAGCTTCATAGTGGGGATGCTTTGCGCCTATACCCGGTTAAGAATCCCTCTTCAGGGGCGCCTGTGTGGCTCAGTTGGTTAAGCGACTGTCTTCGGCTCAGGTCATGATCCTGGAGTCCTGGGATCGAGTCCCACATCGGGCTCCTCACTTAGCAGGGAGTCTGCTTCTCCTGCTGACCTCTCTCCTCTCATGCTCTCTCTTTCTCTCTCAAATAAATAAATAAAATCTTTAAAAAAAAAAAAAAAAAAGAATCCCTCTTCAGAGTGGAAATTGAAATTCTAGTCCTATAGCCCATCCCATCTCTGGGATGTTGAGGGTAAGCACAAGGAGAGATAGCTAATTGTACTGCAAGTAAACAAGGCAGATCAAATATGATGTAATTTCAAATAAGGTATCCCATCTTCGCTTTCATGGTACCTTCTGCTCTGTGTTGTCTTGGCACACCACTGCACTTGTGGGGTTTTGTTAGTTCTTTGCTTTTGCCTGTGTTCTTGTTTCCATCCCTGGACAAAGTTTCTCATGGACAGGGACTAGATATTCTCTGTTTCTGTATCAGAGGCGCCTGGTACCACAGTTCTCTTTCCATCTCTATGAATTTAACTCTTCTAGGTACCTCATATAACTGGAATCATCCCATATTTGCCTTCCCCCCCACATATTTGCCTTTCTGTGACTGGCTTATTCCACTCAACATAATGTCCGCGGTTTAGCCATGTTGTAGCATACGTCCGAATTTTTTCCTTTTTAAGGCTGAGTAATATTCCACTGTGTGGACAAACCATGTTTTGTTTATTGATCATCAGTGGGCACTTGGGTGGCTGCCACATTTTGGCGATTGTGAATAGTACTCCTATGAAGGTGGGTGTACAAACCTCTCTTCAAGACCTTTCTTTCATTTCCTCTGGGCATATATCCAGAAATGGAATTGCTGGATCATACGGTTTTTAATTTTTAAGGAACTGATCCACAATGATTGCACTGTTTCACATTTTTACCGAGAGTGTACAGGGGTTCCAGTTTCCATTTTCATGAGGTCCAGTATGTCTCATTTTTCTTTTGTTAGCTGTGCCTTTGCTGTCCTAGCCAACAAATTACCACCTAATTCAATGTTGTGATATTTTTACCCTATGTTCTCTTCTAAAAATGTCATAATTTTACCTCTTGCTGTCAGGTCTTTGATCAGTATTGAGTTAATTTTTGTATATGGTGTTAGGGAGGAGTCCAACTTTATTCTTTTGCATGAGGATATCTAGTTTCTCCAGCATCATTTTTTGAAGAGTACTACTCTTAATATGCATATTTTATTGACTATTCGCACACCTGAGCACCTCCTAATCCTCCCCACAGCCACACATCCCCATGAGGAAACACTGAAGCTTAGAAACATGAAGGTTAAGCCTGGGTGGCTCAGTCAGCTCTGAGGTAGTTTAATGCTTACAGGGCTTCTGAAACCTTAAAAAGGTTAAGCATCTGCCTTTGGCTCAGATCACGATCCCAAGGTCCTGGATCTAGTCCCGCTTCAGGCTCCCTGCTCAGCCGGGAGTCTGTTTCTCCCCCTGCTTGTGCGTGTGCATGCTCTCTCTCTAGCTCACTCTCTCTCTGATTGAAATAAATAAGTAAATCTTGAAAGAAAGAAAGAAAGTGAAAGAAACAAAGTAGGTGACCTGCTCAAGGTTAGCCAGCTTCTCAGTGGCAGCACCTGCCCTGGGGTCCAGTTCAGTCTGTATTAAATACCTCAACTCTACTATGTTGCATTAATTACCTACCTTTCTAGTATACAGGCAGGGTTATTCCTTTATGACAACTCTTCTGTGAAATGGTGGGGATAAACACTTATATTATAAATTAAAATTTATAAATTGGAAGTTAAGTGCTTTGGAAATAAGAAATAGAAGTACAAATGATAAATCATTTGTTCAGTAACTGGCGTTTGTCTCAAAATACTTTCTTGTACTTTAAAGTTGGATTAACTTACTAATACTTTTTCATATCTAGAGCAATGTTGATCCCAGAGATGATGTATTTGGATATCCTCAACAATTTGAAGACAAACCAGCATTAAGTAAAACAGAAGATAGGAAGGAGTATAATATCGGTGTCCTAAGACACCTTCAAGTCATCTTTGGTCATTTAGCTGCTTCTCGTCTACAGTACTATGTGCCCAGAGGATTTTGGAAACAGTTCAGGTAATTTGGGAATAGATGGTAATAGGGATACTGCTTAAACCTTTGCGAACATCTCTGTACACTAATATTAAATTTCATCTTTATTTTAATATTTAAACAGTAGTACAAAAAATATATATAAAAACAGTAGTACAGTTGACCCTGAAGAACATGGGTTTGAATTGCTTGAGTCCACTTATACACGGAATTTCTTTTTCCCCCAATGAATACAGTAAAATACTTTAAATGGATTTTTTACCCCTGTGGTTTCTTAATAACATTTCCTTTTCCCCAGCTTACTTTATTGTGAGGATATAGAATATAATACATAACACATACAAAATATGTGTTAATTGCTTGTTTATTTTATAGGTAAAACCTGCAGCCAACAGTAGGTTCCTAGTTAAGTTTTGGAGCGTCAGAAGTTATAGGCAGGTTTTCTACCGCATGGGGGTCAGCACCCCACGTTATTCAGGAGTCTGCTGTAATAATCAAACTTTACTTCTTAGTGTTTTACTCTTATTGTCTTCAGAGTCAGAGGTAGAAAGTGTCGTAATTTGGAGAGGCAGCATTCTTCATAAGATGTTAATAATTTTTTGTTTTGGGGGCACCTCGGTGGCTCAGTCAGTTAAACATCTGCCTTCACCTCAGGTCACAATCCCGGGGTCCTGGGATCCAGCCCTGCATTGGGCTCCCTGCTCCGAGGGGAGTCTACTTCTCCCTCTCCCACTCCCATTCCCCCTGCTTGTGCTCTCTCACTGCCTGTCAAATAAGTTTTAAAAAAACTTTTTAAAAAATAATTTTTATTTTGAAAATTTCTCAAATTGAAAGAAGTAGGGAGAACCATGTATATTCATCCCCCAGCCTCAGCAGTTGTTGACTCGTGCCCAGTCTTGTTTAATCTACATTCCCATCTACTTTCCAGTTGTTTTGAATCAAATCTCACACATTGTCATCTATAAATATTGTAGTGTGTATCTTCGGTGCCTTTTTTTTTTTTTTTAAACCTAACCATGGTACTGTTACAGTGTCTTTTAAAAATCCTTAATATCCTTATTAGTGTTCGTATTTACTCAGTTTTCTCACAGTTGATTTTTACTACGTATTTTTTTGAAATTGGGATCCAAATGAAGTCCATATACCTCAAATGTTGCTATGACTCTCCTTGTAGTCTCATCATTTTTCTTGATGGGGCCTACCACTAAAAACAACATCCTTGGGACGCCTGGGTGGCTCAGTTGGTTAAGCCGCTTCCTTCGGCTCAGGTCATGATCCCAGGGTCCTGGGATCGAGTCCCGAATAGGGCTCCTTGCTCAGGGGGAGCCTGCTTCTCTCTCTGCCTCTTCCTGCTGCTCTGCCTACTTGTGTTCTCCTGCGCTCGCTCGCGTGCTCGCTCGCGTGCTCGCTCGCTCGCTCTCTCTCTGACAAGTAAATAAATAAATAAAATCTTTTAAAAAAAAAAATCCTTGCTGTTTTTGGGGAAAAGTAGGTAGTTTACAATGTAAAGTTTCCAACCATCTGGATTTTATTGATAGAATCCCTGTGGTATTTTTGTATTTTCTGTTTTCCTCAGTCTGCTGTATTTCCTATAAATAAGGAGTGAGATCTAGAGACTTGATGAGATCGAGGTGTTTTTCTTTTTTCTTTTTTTGAAATGATAGGCAAAGCTACTTTATAGACAGTAATGTTTACATCAGTGGGGAGAAGTATGTAATGTCTGTATCCCATGATCACAGCCATTGGTCATCACTGGCTAGAGTATTTCATCAGGATTACAGAATGGTGGTAGTCTCAATTTTTTTTCCTTAAATCATTCTTGCATTTACTAGCCAGAATAGATTTTACGTACAACTTTGCTATCCTAATATATAATTTTCTAGGAAAGATGGGATAAATAACTTTTTTTTTTTAATTAAAATTCTCAATTATATCTTGGTCTTGGGTTTTCTTTTATTTTACTTTTTTTTTTTTTTTTTCCAGATTTATTTATTTGACAGAGAGGGACACAGCAAGAGGGAACACAAGCAGGGGGAGTGGGAGAGGGAGAAGCAGGCTTCCCGCTGAGCAGGGAGCTCGATGCAGGGCTCGATCTCAGGACCCCAGGATCATGACTTGAGCCGAAGGCAGATGCTTAATGACGAAGCCACCCAGGCGCCTCTCTTTTACTTTTTTAAATCATTTCCTGTTACGTGTCATGCACTAAATACCACAGTTCAACCACTTAACTCTTTTTACTGTGTATGAAAAAGGCTCTAATCCTTCATAGCTGTGGGTTTTTAAATAAAACTCCGGGGAATTTCAAGGCCTCATCCTGTCAGCTGAGAGTCGGGGAAGCAGAGGGTCACCTGACACTGCCACCCGGGGCTACCTTCCCTGCTTCTGTCAGAGCAGCTTTCCTTTTCCCTATAAGGAAACTATTTAGATTGCTTTTGAATCCACTGTTTTATAGTATAATGGCATTCCTGTGACTCACCATATAAATTCCTCTGATTCCCCTAACTAGGCCCCTGCTTAATCCATACTACTGGCTTGCATGCACCACCTTCCTTCCCAGCTCTGCTTTTACTCTTGCTATCCCATCACCTGACACACCCCTCACTCTCTTCTCTGTTGCAGTTCTTTCTTTCCCCAGTTTGTCACATCTCTGCCATAAGGCTTTTATAACATTTCTGTTCTTCGTCTTCCAAATTACTCTCGTACTTTTTGTGTTTCTAGCTTAAAATTTGTCATTCAGTTATAAATAGTTTCTCTCTTACGATACAGTTGGATTTTTTATTTCAAAATGACTTCCTGTGCTACTGGAACTTCTAGTTTATCTAGACTAGCACTTCTGGATGAATCTCACTTTAGACACACAATATACTCCTGATATGTGTGGGTTAGTTGACCACATTCCCTACCGCATGCCCAATTTTTTATTTTGAAAAATTTGAAACCAGCGGAAAAGGTGACAAATTAGTACAGTGTGATCACCTTTTATGTTATACTCTAAAAAGTTTCAACAGTTAACATTGTGCCAGTCTTGCTTATATGTGTACAGTTGGCCCTTCAACAGTGTGGAGGTTAAGAGCATTGATTCCCCTCACAGTTGAAAATCCATGTATAACTTTTGGTGCTCTCGAAACTGAGGAGCCTGCTACTCTTGACTGGAAGCCTTACCGATAACATAACAGTTAACATTTTGTATGTTATATGTATTATATGCATATATTATATGTAAGAATATGTTCTTAAAATCGGGTAAACTGGAGAAAAGAAAATGTTAAAAATCTTAAGAAGGGCACCTGGGTGGCTCAGTCGTTAAGCGTTTGCCTTCAGCTCAGGTCATGATCCCAGGGTCCTGGGATCAAGCCCCGAATTGGGCTCCCTGCTCAGAAGGAAGCCTGCTTCTCCCTCTCCCACTCCCCCTGCTTGTGTTCCCTCTCTTGGTGTATCTCTGTCAAATAAATAAAGATCTTGGGGAAAAAAAGTCATAAGAGAAAGTACATTTACGGTACTGTACTGTATGGCGGGAATATCCATGTGTAAGTGGATCCACATAGTTCAAACCTGTGTTTAAGTGTCAACTGTACTTGGGTTTTGATTCTTTTAAACCAGTTTATTGTAAGTTGTAAAATAAACATGGTATTTTACCCCCACGCACCTACATGTGCTTTAGTATGTATCCTCTAAGAATAAAGACACTTTCTGCTTACATATAATACCATTATCACACTCAATGAAATTTAATGGTGATTTAATAATGCCTAATATGGGGGCATCTGGCTGCCTCAGTCAGTAGAGCATGCCACTCTTGATTTCAGGGTCCTGAGTTTGAGCCCCCACATTGGGTGTAGAGATTACTTAAAAAAGAAAAGGAGTGGAAAATAAATTACCTACCTTTGAATATTTTTTTTAAATAATGATGTCTAATACTCATCAGTGTATATTCTGATTTCCCAAAAATACTCTCTGTGACTTTTTTTTCCAATCCCAGACTGGTATCCTGAAAGGAATCAAAATAATTGGGTTGTTTTACCTCTTTAGTTTTCTTTAAAATAATCTCCCTAACTTGTCATGACTTATATGGTACTGAAATTTTTTAAGAGTCTAGGTTGGTTGTCTTGAAGAATGTCTCTCATTTTGATTTGTGTGGTTATTTCCTCATGATAAGATTCAGGTTAAATGTTTTCGGCAAGAAAGCCCACAGTAGGTGGTGTTACGTGCTTTTCGTTGCACTGCGTTGGGAAAATACACTGTATCAGTTTGTCTGATATTGGTGATATTAACTTGGTGTCTTACAGATCTGTTCATCTTTTCTCTTTTGTAATTAATGGTTGACTCCATGTTTGAAAGTATGGGGAATCAACCATAATTTGAAAATTAATAGAATGGATTGGTGTCATTTCCAGTAATGAACCAAGTTGGTTTTAACAAACAAGGACATGTGTTTTATTTTAAACTCACTATATCAAGTTAAGTTTAAAATATAATCAGAGGAGCACCTGGATGGCTCAGTCCGTTAAGTGTCTGACTTGTGATCTCAGCTCAGGTCTTGATCCCAGGGTCATGTGTTGAAGCCCCACATTGGTCCCCCCGCTGTTTATGGAGCCTACTTAAAAACAAGTTAAAAGATATTACATGATTGGAATGAGATTATTTCCTACATAGAAAAAGTGTTTAAAAAAATTTGATGTATGTCACTGTAAATACAAAATTAGATGTCATTGATAGTTTCCAGGAGTGCCTAGGATTTTAGTAGTCAGTCCTCACTTTTGTGGTATACACAATCGAAAGTTTATTTTCTAGAGATCTAACTTAAGTCCTCAGATTACTCAAAAGAGATCAACTCTAAAACAAGTCATAGCTTTTTCCTTTCACTTGGAAAAAGCGATTTAATTAAGAGTAAATAAATCATTGCACTGTATTTGTAACCTGAAATTTAAGCAACACGAAACAAAAAGTGATTATAACATTTACGTAAGAGTAAGATCCACTGTATAAAGCAGCCGCAGGTGCTGGAGCCATAGTAACCATCAACCACACCAGCAGTTTCATAGTGACTCATGGCATGGAGCTCCACTTGCACTATGAGCCTCACTGTGTCTCTCACCGTGCTCTACACATAAAGAGCATTTTTGCTTTTTTCCTACTAAAAAAAAAAAACTCAGTTTATATATTGTCATTTGTGGTTGTATTGCTTTATTTCCTGAGAAAATACTGTATTTTTTCCCATTCATTTCTTAGGCTTTGGGGTGAGCCTGTTAATCTGCGTGAACAGCATGATGCTTTAGAATTTTTTAATTCACTGGTGGATAGTTTAGATGAAGCTTTGAAAGCCTTGGGACATCCAGCTATGCTAAGTAAAGTCTTAGGAGGTTCCTTTGCTGATCAGAAAATTTGCCAGGGCTGCCCACATAGGTAAGTGTTGATTATATATTTAAAGTTGTACTGTTTATTTACTAAAAAAAAAATAAAATACTTATTAGTAGTTATGTACTAAAGTGGAGTATGCCACCAATTTAACTATATACCTGAGACTAGATGAATTATACACTGTGTACCTTACTGTTGTGGGTTTGGGTTTTGTGCGTGGTGGTGGTGGTGATGGTTAGTAGTGTTTTCATGGAGGTTTTTGTTTTCTGGTTTGGGGGGGGGTTTGATTTGGTCCCATAACCTTTGGCTCCTTCTCTTTCTTTTATGTATGATTATTACTGGGGAAATGAAATGGCATTTTGCATATATAGCTTATAGGTGTTACTCATAAATTCGCCCTTTATCCTAGAGCTAAAGTAATTAAAATATTAAAAATACATTAAGCTTAGAAGATGATAGACATGGAGTACAATTTCCTTATATGAGAGAAATACTAATTTTTAAAATAGCATTAATTTTCATTATCCTTAAAGTGTGTTTTCAACACAAAACATAGCAAGAGTTGACTGAACAAACTGTTTTTTACTTAAAAGAGAAATTGTTTAATTAAGAACTCTTAATTGAAAATAGTTAAGTGACTATTAAATTTCACTACTAGTAGATACATGTTTATGCCTAGTACATGGAAGTTTTACTTTGGAACTTCTCTTGCATGTTACTGATGACTGTTGGTTTGAAATCACTTTTCGCCAAAATATCACAGTACGATGCTATTTTCTATAAGCCCAAACGGTATTACATAGTCATGAGGTATGTGGCTCGTGGGAGTGCTTCATTTTTGATCAAAGGGAAATGATTGACAGAGAGGTAATGCTATATAAATGAGAAATTACCATGAGGTTAAACCATTCATTCAGAACAAGACCATGAAATTATTCACGTAGCCTGTACAGTAACTTTTGGTTGTTTTAAAAGACCTTTTGCATTAGGTGGACAACTAAACTGTCATTTTAACCTTTTGATTTTAATTACTGATAAAATAAGCCAACTTTTGGTCATTTATTCTAATCAGTCCTTCTTGGTTTGTTTTATTTAGACAATTTTCAAAGTCATTTGGAAATTACTGCTTTTCTTTGCTAATAAGTGACAATGTCTGGAAAGCATGATTGTAATTAAGATCCCAGAAGTTCAAACACTTTCTCCACAACTAAACGAGGCCTGTACACATTACATGCCAGAAGGTTACATAAAGAGTCCCAAGTCTGTCTGTCCTACAGGATTATTTGCTAGATCAGGAGTTCGCAAACAATGCACCACAGGTCAAATCCAGCCACACATCGGTTTTTATTTTTAAAAAAGTGTTACTGAAACATACTCTGGCTGCTTTCCCTATAACAGCAGAGTCATAGAGACGTCATGGCCCACAAAAAAGCTTGCAATAGGTACTACCTGGCTTTTTATAGAAAAAATTTTGCTGGCTTACTCTTATCTTCGAATGTCCTATTTTTTTTTTTTAAGCAGAGTCATAAGTTCTGACTTCTTTTTTCTCTTTTATGGGTTGTTCCCAGATCATAGTAGCAATAGTCTTAATACCTACTTAATATTCCATTCATGCCCTTACAAATACCTTTGTATACCTTTTTTCCCCCATAACTAAACTGAAAAGCCCCAAATATGAGGAACTTGTCTTCAGCATTGACTATCCCAGAGTACTTTCACACATGGAAGTCCCTCCGAATGTATTTGTTGAATGAATAAATTTGATGGTTGAGCGTGTATTCCCTACATCCCATGTTCTGAGTTTACGCATGTGTCTCATCAGAAATCTGAAATTTCCCTTGGTAGAAAATTGCCACAAGGTGGGATTCTGGCTCCTACTCAAATTGGTTATCTCCTGTTGACCAGTTGTTCAAACTTGTGCTATACTGAGGTTTCCATTACAGAAAAGAATGACCATTTAAAAAAAGCAGCCTATTAATAGTTTAAAATACCGTTTTCAGAAGTTGTGATGAATTCATGCTTTGGCCTTGGCATGAATTAGCCCAACTAGATGACAATGGAAGCAGCACAGTAGATGGTAAAGAGCTTAAGCCATGAAGCAAGACAGACCTGGCTTCAAAATGTAATTTTGCCTAGTAATCTTGACCATATTAACCTTTCCAAGTCCCAGTTCCCTCATCCTCTGAAGTGGAGGTGGTGGTAGTTTTCTAGCAGGTTTGTCATGAAGACAGAAAAACTGTGTATATATGGGCGTAAACAACCTAATGTAGTGCCCAGCACTAGGTAAGTGGCCAAATAAATGTGTCAGAATTTATTGGTGACCTTCCGTTTCTTTACAGGTTTCATGTCATATTATAAATATTGCAGATAATAGCTTTCATTAAGTCTATAAAAATGTTGAGAAAACTAAGAAATCCTTTTTGATGATTTCTTAATATCTTTAGATACGAGTGTGAAGAATCTTTTACGACTTTGAATGTAGACATTAGAAATCACCAAAATCTTCTTGATTCTTTGGAACAATATGTCAAAGGAGATTTATTAGAAGGTGCAAATGCATATCATTGTGAAAAATGCAATAAAAAGGTATGAATTATCCAGGTTATTTAAGTAACTATAGTTACATTTAATGGGTTTGAAAGTTCATTGCTTTTGTTTATGTATTTATCTATTTTTATTCCCTACCCTGCGTTGTTACAGTGGTAGCAGAAGGTAGTTAAGGTAACTTGGTACAAAGGTTTTTCAGGGCAAGAAGATTGAGAGAAAGTAGTGACAGCAGGGCTAGGGAAACCAGTAAATAAGAGCAAACATCTTAGAAGTCCTAATAGTTCACTATCACTTTCTGTTGTCTGAGCTCCACAGTCACTTGCCATTCATGCCCAACCAAACTGCTGTTGAACCCCAAAGCTGTAGCGCTGACAAGAAAACGTTTTCTCCTGTCACGTGCAGTTCCTTATAAGGACCAAGAAGTTTACTGAAACCTGCATTACTGGATTTGGTGCCATAAGATTTCTTCTACCAACGTGTTTTTAAACTAATGGGATCAGGTTTCTTGTTTTGTTTTTTGTTTTTTGTTTTTGGAGATTTTATTTATTTATTTGACAGAGATTACAAGTAGGAAGAGAGGCAGAGAGAGAGAGGAAGGGAAGCAGGCTCCCTGCTGAGCAGAGAGCCTGATGTGGGGCTTGATCCCAGGACTGTGGGATCATGACCTGAGCCACTGAGCCACCCAGGCACCCCAGGATCAGGTTTTTAGGCCCACTTGATAAAGTTTTATCTTTGGGCACTTAACACCTCTTAGGGAGAGACCGTCTACATAGACAATAAATAACGTCTGTCTTCCTGGGCTCCCAAATTCTCTCACCTCCAAGTCACCTGTATCGTTTTGACATTCACACACCACCTGAAGAGGTACTAAAGTCTAGAGGCTGAGATGTGAGCTGTAAAGCTGGACTGCCTCCCCACCCCCACTCCCCCACCACCAGCTCTGAGACTTGAGGCAAGTGACTCAGTCTCTCTGCTGCTCCTGCTCCTCCTCATTACTACTCAGGCAGTACTTAGCATATTACTTGGCACCTAATGGCCCAATAAATATTAGCTGCTATTGTATTTCTTCAGCTTGCTCCAAACAGCATACTTTCATTAGCCTAACAGTAAATGTCAAACAAGTAACAGTGGTAAGATAGCAATGACGATACAGAATCCAGGCAGTGAGTAATGTCAGTGTCACTAATATTCGCAATTTGTAACAAATGGCATCCGCTTTTTCCATATTGTTAGTTTTAGTTAGCATTTTTTGAAATGCCTACTGTGACAGAATTACCTTGATTATATTCATTGCGGTGTGTTTGTTTACACTTATGACCTCCAATTAGTCTTCATGAGAATTTAATAATATGGGTTTATAGTTTGTTTTGTGCAGTGGATTATAGAAGAACATCTAGTAACTTGCTCTGTTTATTTTAGGTTGATACTGTAAAGCGCTTGCTAATTAAAAAATTACCTCCCGTTCTTGCTATCCAACTGAAAAGATTCGATTATGACTGGGAAAGAGAATGTGCAATCAAATTCAATGATTATTTTGAATTTCCTCGAGAGCTGGACATGGAACCTTACACAGTCGCAGGTGTTGCAAAGCTGGAAGGAGATAATGTAAACCCAGAGAGTCAGTTGATACAGCAGAATGAGCAGTCTGAAAGTGAGACAGCAGGAAGCACAAAATACAGACTCGTGGGCGTGCTGGTACACAGTGGCCAAGCAAGTGGTGGACATTATTATTCTTACATCATTCAGAGGAATGGTGGAGATGGTGAGAGAAATCGCTGGTATAAATTTGACGATGGAGATGTAACAGAGTGTAAAATGGATGACGACGAAGAAATGAAAAACCAGTGTTTTGGCGGAGAGTATATGGGGGAGGTATTTGATCACATGATGAAGCGCATGTCCTACAGGCGCCAGAAAAGGTGGTGGAATGCTTACATACTTTTTTATGAACGATTGGATACTATAGACCAGGGTGATGAGTTGATAAGATACATATCTGAGCTTGCTATCACCACAAGACCCCATCAGATTATTATGCCATCAGCCATCGAGAGAAGTGTACGGAAGCAGAATGTGCAATTCATGCATAACCGAATGCAGTACAGTCTAGAATATTTTCAGTTCATGAAAAAACTGCTTACGTGTAACGGTGTTTACTTAAATCCTCCACCAGGTAAGTATCAAGAATTTAGCTTCTTAGTAAAAGCGTAACTCTTAGTTTACTTGCGAGATTTCTTAGAAGCATCAACATATTTGCATTTTTACTCTGGGCTTTTTTTTTTTTTTTTTTTTTTAAAGATTTTATTTACTTGACAGAGATCACAAGTAGGCAGAGAGGGGAGGGGAGAGAAGTGGGTTTTCCACCGAGCAGAGAACCCGATGCGGGGCTCAATCCAGACCATGATGTGAGCTGGGGGCAGAGGCTTTAACCCACTGAGCCACCCAGTCGCCCCTACTTTGGGCTGTTTCAAAGCCATATTTCATGTAACTGTTATGTTAAAATGTTGAGCAATATATATTGTCTTGCTGTTTGGAAACAGGAGCTTTTGTTTATTACAACAATTTGTTTCCGACTCAAGCATTAGTTTGAAACATGCTTTACTGAACTAAGAATTATTTCATAAGTTGCTGGTTGGGGGGTAGTTAGCAAAGGTAGGACTTCTAGAAATCAGTGGAAATGTAGACTTGTTTGAAAATGGAGCTTAGACATAGAAATTTTTTTTTTAATGTATCTGCCTATTTTTTATAGGGCAAGATCACCTGTTGCCTGAAGCAGAAGAAATCACTATGATTAGTATTCAGCTTGCTGCTAGATTCCTTTTTACCACAGGATTTCACACCAAGAAAATCGTCCGTGGCTCTGCCAGTGATTGGTACATTACTTTGGGTTTTCATTCCTAGTATCCTAGCATTTAATTTGATTCTTTAATATATTGTTTTATTTTTTTCCAACTCAACGACCATCTTATTTCAGCAGAAACTTTTTTTTTTTTAAGGATTTTATTTATTTATTTATGAGAGAGAGAGAGAGAGAGAGAGAGCGCATGAGAAGAGAAAAGTCAGCAGGAGAAGCAAACTCCCTGCTGAGCAGGGATCCTTATGTGGTACTTGATCCTGGGACTCCAGGATCATGACCTGAGCTGAAGGTGGTCACTTAACCAATTGAGCCACCCAGGCATCCCCAAAAACTCTTGATAGTAGTAGTGAGAGAGATCATATTAAAATAATTAACTTAGGCTAAACATGACCTTTCATTGTTCTGAAGCTGGCTTCTGTTTCTCTTACCTTGTATCCTATCTTTGATGTCCCAGTACAAAAGATTATAGGATAATACTTAAAAAGTCTGAGCTACTTAATCCAGAAATTAGTAGTTTTAACTTCCCTAGATTAAATTTTGCCATAGATTTTAAAATGTGACAAATAAAATGAGTGTCCTAAGTTTCAGATTGTGAGAGTATAGAGGCCATTATAATACCTTGATTGAACAATTTTTATGTACTCATCCAGTGGTTAGATGTTCAAGGAAGATTAGGGGAGGGACTGTCTTGTCATTGAATCTAGAAAGAGTTCTGTAATGAGTTTGTAGAGGACTAGACAAGCTTTCATCTCTGTATTGTCAGTCTTTGAGAAGAGCCCCAAGCTGTAGTCATCTGTCCTTTTAATGTTGGTACTAGAAGCAACCATTGCTGATTCTTTCCCTCCAGAAGTAAAAGAGGGTCTTTGATTTTTATTTGGTTCATAGAGACTCATATTTGTATTACATACAAAACACAGTAAATTGACATTGAAAAATTTTTTTTGTTTTGTCTTAGGTATGACGCATTGTGTATTCTCCTTCGTCACAGCAAGAATGTCCGTTTTTGGTTTGCTCACAATGTCCTTTTTAATGTTTCAAATCGCTTTTCTGAATACCTTCTGGAGTGCCCCAGTGCAGAAGTAAGGGGTGCATTTGCAAAACTTATAGTTTTTATTGCACATTTTTCCTTGCAAGATGGGCCATGTCCTTCACCTTTTGCATCTCCCGGACCTTCTAGTCAGGTAATTGCCTGGTTTTCTTTTTAGTGATTAAATGCTTACAAATCTCTTCCCTGGAAGTTGAAGTCACAAATACATGTACATCTTTTTGATACGTTTACCGAACAAATGTGTGTGCACACACACCAACACCATCTGTTATCTAGGAGTTCGGTAAAAGTACTTCGCAGCAATGAATAGCAATTATTAGCTCTTTAACAACCACAGAATTTTCTGTGTTCATTCAGTTACAAGCAGTGGCTTAATTGTACACATGATTATATAGATTATTTGTAAAGTTTTTTTTTTTTTAATGGACTTCCATTTATTAAGAATTAAAACATCATGATGAAGTCTCTAAATGAAATCTACCTCGGATCTTCATTCCCTTTTCTAAAAAGCAACCCTTTTTAATTGTTCATTGTGTGATTAGTCCTTCTAAAAATTTCTGCCTTATATTTATCGTGGTGGGTGTGGGTGTGTGGCGCCTTTTTTATGTATTATACTGTACCTATATCTTGTCACTGGAAAATAGCCAATGTTTTATCCTTTACAGGCATATGACAACTTAAGCCTAAGCGATCACCTACTAAGGGCAGTTCTCAATCTCTTGAGAAGGGAAGTTTCAGAGCATGGGCGTCATTTGCAGCAGTATTTCAATCTGTTTGTAATGTATGCCAATTTAGGTAAGAATTTAAATCGCTATAATTCTGTTTTAATGTATTAAGTGGCAAAGTCTTCTAAGTCAAATGATGAAACATTTTTTACTGCACTTTTCACCTTGTACTTTTATTTATGCATATCTCTGCAGTACATAGAGGCCAGAATCTGTCTCTTCTAGAAGAGAGGAAGTAGGGGAAAGGGCAGAGGGAGAGAGAGAACCCATGAGATCACAACCTGAGCCACAATCAAAGAGTTGGACATTTAACAGACTGAGCCTCCCAGTCACCCCCAGAATCTGTGTCTTAATCATGTTTTTTTATCTCCTAAAACAGTAATGCCAAATCTGTCTGGATTTGAAAATACTGACTCTTAGGCCCCATCCCACACCAACTGAATCAGAATTCTCAGAGCTACCACAAGGAATCCACATTTTCAAAAAGTCCCTGGGTGGTTGTGATACTCACCCAAGTTTGAGTTAAGGACTTGGTTTGAACTAAGTTTTTATTGAAGTCAACTAAATTAAAATTACAGATAATACACATATTCAGTTACCCTATTATTTGTTATTACCTCTGTTTAACATGTTCCTTCTCTATCCTTTCTAACATCATCTGATCAGTGATCCCAGAATACTTAACTTAAAAATGCGTTGTCTTCTACTTCTGTTGTTTTGTATTGTGTTCACATTTTTGTGTTGCTACCCAATGAGATTGCAGAGATCAGCGTTTTTTGCAGTGACACTCAATAAATGTTTGTTGAATGAAAAGATGGTATTATCAAAAATCCTTCCATTGTCATTTGGTGTCTGTTCATTGGCTTTGTATGGGGTGGTAAATTTCCTATGATAACAATTATTAAATTTCTTTTTCTGTTTTTTTTTCTTTATGTATTATTTAAGTAATCTCTGTGTCCAATGTAAGACTACGAACCCATAACCCTGAGATAAAGTCGCATGCTCTTCCAACTGAGCATTAGTAAGAAATTATAAAAATTTCTTACTAATCAGGTATCAGTGCACTGTTCCCAAATGATTAATTTACTGAGGCATTCCATTTAAAATCTTAAGTGCTGGGGCGCCTGGGTGGCTCAGTGGGTTAAGCCGCTGCCTTCGGCTCAGGTCATGATCTCGGAGTCCTGGGATCGAGCCCCGCATCGGGCTCTCTGCTCAGCTGGGAGCCTGCTTCCTCCCCCTCTCTCTCTGCCTGCCTCTCTGCCTGCTTGTGATCTCTCTGTCAAATAAATAAATAAAATCTTTAAAAAAATAAAAAAATAAAAAAAAATAAAATCTTAAGTGCTAATGAGTATTTGGCCAGATTTGAATAACTTCTTTAAAAGTTTAAAAGAGGGGCACCTTGGGCACCTGGGTGGCTCAGTCGTTAAGCATCTGCCTTTGGCTCAGGTCATTATCCCCAGCATCCTGGGATCAAGCCACATACCAGGCTCCCTGCTCTACGGGGAGCCTGCTTCTCCCTCTCCAGCTCCCCTGTGCTTGTGTTCCTTCTCTCGCTGTCTCTGTTATAAATAAATTTTTTTTTTAAGATTTTATTCATTTGACAGACACAGAGAGGGAACAGAAGCAGGGGGAGTGGGAGAGGGAGAAGCAGGCCCTCTGCCAAGCAGGGAGCCAGATGAGGGGTTCGATTCCAGGACCCTGGGATCACGACCTGAGCCGAAGGTAGACACCCAGTGACTGAGGCACCCAGGTGTCCCCAGAGCCATATACTTTAGTATGAAATTCTTAATACCACATATGCTTTGGGGTTCAGGATTGTGTGGATTTAAGAAAGGTAAGGCAGTATATATACCATGTGTTGTGCAACATCCCTATAACAGAGTCCAAGACAACACCTTATAATCATACACATTAATATTTCTACAGTAAAGCATGAGCAGTCACCCAGAGAGGTGATAAACGAAGACTATAAATAGCCTCTTAACAGTTCAGGCCAGCTTTTCCCACCAAACACATTTTGATACCAACTTTACAAAAGAATTCCTGTTTATATTTATGATAAGAGCTTTTTGAATCTCAGGATTTCAGATAAGGGATTGTGGGCCTATATTTATTATACTTCTTGGAATATGACACTAAAAAGGACAGTCTGTTGTCTAATGAGGTAGAGAAGCAAATAAAAAGATAACTGCCATGAAGTATGTTAATGGCTATAATAGGGAAAAATACAAAGTGGTACATGGTAGTATGTAGTAGGGATACCAGACCAGAATTGGGGCATACAGGGGACTTAATGGGGAAGTTGATGTGGGAATTTGTTGTTTGGGGTTGCTATCCAGAGTGAACAGCAGATGCAGAGACTTGGAGTAAACTCAGTGTGTGGAGGAAGTGAAAGTTACTCAGACTAGAAATGATCTCTGATCATGCTATCTGGCAAGCCTCATGAGGGATTCTAGACTTTATCCTAAGGTCAGCGATGAGCCACTGTAGAGTTTTTAATAGACATACCTCTAGAAAGATCACTCGGACTACAATGAAGAATGGATTGCAGGGAAAAAAGACTAGATATTATTAAAATGATTTATAGCAGAAAACCATTACGGCCAGTACTGGGGAACTGGCAATGAGGGGGATACAAGTGGACAGATTCTGATGCTTTTTATTAGAGGTAAAGTCAGTAGGATTTAGTGATTGTGTATTAAGAGGAGGGAAACCCAGAAGAGATATGAAGTGATGCCTAGTAGATAGTAGATAGCAGTGCCATGTACTGAGAGAGGAGAACACAGGAGGAAGAACATCGATAGGGGAGTAAAGTGATGAGTCAAGTTTGGACAAACTGAGTTTTGAGCCTGTCAGATACCCAAATAGTGATGTTTAGTATCTGGTAGAACACTTAAGGTGCTTGTCTTAGAAATACCTTAGTATCATCTGAACAAAAAGAGCTAGAACTTGAAGCCATTAGAGTGAGTTTGATCATGCAGGAAAAGCAAGCATACAGCACGAGACAGTGGCCTGGTGTGGGAACTTTGAAGCAACCATTTCTCAGAGACAGAGAAAGGATGACTTAGAAATGAGACCAAGGAGAAGAGGCTGGAAGGAAAGAGAGGAATCCAAGATGGAGAGGAAGCAGTTACGGTTTAGAACTATTCCTTAGCTTTACCCTGGGAAAGGGGGCAGAAACCAAACTGGCATGACTTGAGGAGTGGGGAAAATAAGAAAATAGAGATGACACCAAGTTTACGCATGTTTTTCAAGTAGCTCAGCTATGGAAGAAAGTAGAGAGGCAATATATAAAAGAATTTTTATTTCTCACTGAGTTTTCATCATCCTCCCTTATGATGAGGATTGCAGTCTAGGCCAGTACCCCACACTCTCAGGCCATACAAAGCGTTCATTTTCTTTATACTTGGTTTGACTGGAATGTCATCGAGTCTTTGACCGTTTTAAAACTTAAATCCAATTATACCACAGAGATTTTTGTTCTGGTTAAATCATTCTCTGAGTGTTAAATAAGAGTGGTCTTCTGGTTATAAAAATTACAGAAAAATATTTTAGACAACGGCTTTATTATGAAGTCCTTACCATCCTAATTCTTTTATCTTTTGTAATTCTTCTCCCCCTTTTCCCTCTTCTTCCTTCTTCATTGTAGGTGTGGCAGAGAAGACACAACTTCTGAAATTGAATGTACCTGCCACCTTTATGCTTGTGTCTTTAGATGAAGGTCCAGGTCCTCCAATCAAATATCAGTATGCTGAATTAGGCAAATTGTACTCCGTTGTGTCACAGCTGATCCGCTGTTGCAATGTCTCTTCAAGAATGCAGTCTTCAATCAATGGTAAAGTCAAATGCTCCATCCTTGATATTGGTTTTAAAATATTGCTGGCCATACATAATACCCAGTTAAAAGTGATTCTGAAGATATTTAAATATAAGACCCAGAGTCTGACAATCTATAATATTTTGGGTTCTGCATCTTTTCACATATTTAAAAGGGATTTTTTTCTGTCTGCTTGTTCCTGGGTACTTTACTGGATACTTTATGAAGTAGTTTAAAAACTAACTTTTCACCAAACTGAGGGTTGCTGGAAGGAGGGGTAGAAGGAAGGGAGTGGCTGGGTGATGGACATTGGGGAGGGTATGTGCTATGTTGAGTGCTGTGAATTGTGTAAGACTGATGATTCACAGACCTGTACCTCTGAAACAAATAATACATTATATGTTAATAAAAAATAAATAAGGTTAGATATTCCCAAAACAAACCAAAAAAAAAAAAAGATTAACTTTTCATATAGGTTATATGCCAGTGTTGGCATTTAAAGTTTGCATTTTATCATCTTAGTCTATCTGATCATTGTAATGCCTAAAACTACTTTCTTCATGGTACTTAGGAATATTGATTTAAAATGTTATTTTTCTAAAATACAAACTTCATACACTGTTTTCTATGGTGAAAGCTATATTATTTTATTATGGAGAAGCCTATTAGTTTTTCATTGATGACAAATCTGTATTCTAGGTAATCCTCCTCTTCCCAATCCTTTTGGTGATCCTAATTTATCACAACCTATAATGCCAATTCAGCAGAATGTGGCAGACATTTTATTTGTGAGAACAAGTTATGTGAAGAAAATCATTGAGGACTGCAGTAACTCAGAGGAAACTGTCAAATTGCTTCGTTTTTGCTGCTGGGAGAATCCTCAGTTCTCATCTACTGTCCTCAGTGAACTTCTCTGGCAGGTTAATAGGACAATAAACATTCATATGTCTCTCTAATTTGATTCATTATTCCTTTAAATAAGTTATTCATGGTGTCTTTTCCTGTTTTTAGGTTGCATATTCCTACACTTACGAACTCCGGCCCTATTTGGATCTGCTTTTGCAAATCTTACTGATTGAGGACTCCTGGCAGACTCACAGGTAGATCCTCTTTTTTACTTGCCCAACTTTTAAACTAACTGATACTGCCAGCCAGCGCTCCCCCCACCCCCTTTTTTTCATTTTTACCTCTCAGAGATCTAATAAAGGTTTTACCTTAAAAGCTTAAGAATTGGTAGAAAGTTCCCCCTTCCCTCATTTGATTTCACTTTTTTATTTTTTCATTGCCCACATTGCATACTTACTCCTAGGTATCAAATTTTTTTTTTAATTAAGAAAAACTAGCATAGGCTTTTGGTAAATATCTTAATTTCATTAATGATGTGCTAGGGTTATTTTAGGATTAAATTGCATTCATTTAAGAGTGAGTCATATGAGGTCACATTTGGTTTGGTTATCTAAAAATCGTCCTTAGGTAACTAAGTACAGTCAGTTCCCATTATTCATGTTAGCTATATTCTCTAAAGTCACTGTGAACACTGAATGAGGGAATGTAAAGCCATTGCTCCTGGGGAAATAACAGGGTTAGGTTCCTATAAGCCTCTGGTTGCATCTTTGTCAGCCAATCTATATATAACCTTTTTCTAAATGTGTGTTTCTTAATGTACATTGCCGACTCTTTAACAGTGAACTCACAATAACTTGTGTCTGAATAAAGCTTCTTTATTTTTTTTTAAAGATTTTATTTATTTATTTGACAGAGATCACAAGTAGGCAGGCAGGCAGAGAGAGAAAGAGGGAAGCAGGCTTCCCACTTAGCAGAGAGCCCTATGTGTGGAGCTCCATCCCAGGACCCCGAGATCAGGACCTGAGCCGAAGGCAGCGGCTTAACCCACTGAGCCACCCAGGCGCCCCTGAATAAAGCTTCTTTAATGCAATATTTTCTCTGCAAAGCCTTTTGGCACTGAAGAATACTAGGTAGCTCTTCACTACGCATTTGGGGGCCATTTTAAACCATGAAGTCAACAAAAAGCACAAACCGTGTAGGAAGGGTTTCACTAAATAGCAAAAAGGACACTCCTTAACAATGTAAGCTGAAAAAAGGCAAAGTGTCATTTTGTTCCACTTCAGCTGTGAACATACGTGTTGATCCAGATTTTTCCAAAAGCAGCATGCTGGTTTTCTGCCATTACAAATAAAGTTTAGTAAGTATGCAAAATCACAAATGCAGAATCTTTGAATAATGAACATCAACTTTAGTTTTTCATTATATGAGAATTTGAGTGCGATGGTTTTTTTTTTTTTTTTTAGCTGAGGTTATCCAGCATAACTGTCCTACTCAAGCTTCCTCCAGAATTCCTCCATCTTGTTCTTTGCCATAAAGTTTAATAAATGATCTCTGATCCCAAGAATTATAGATGATGGTGAAATACAGAATTCATTGACAACTCTGCCAGATTTTATAACTTCCCTCCCCATGTGGATGGTAGTACAATACTTGATTTTCAGAAATAGTTCAGAATTTATATATGTCTGTCAGTATAACTAAAACAGCAACCTGAGAACAAGTTCTGTAGTGACAAAATGCTTAAAACATAATTTTGATTGCAAATGTCAGAATTCATGAATATTTCCAAATTATCTCCAAAGTTATCATCATAGATTTAACATTAATTTTAACAATAATGTTGCAAAAATAGCATCAAGCCAAAAATCAATTTTCATGAGACAAAAAATGTAGTAGTTCCAAAACTGTAAGCATGTATTTTGAGCACCTTCCAGTACCCTTCTCAGTATGATTTATAGGATTTGACACTTTTCTTAAGAACTGTTTTTAGGGGACGCCTGGTTGGCTCAGTTGGTTGGGCCTCTGCCTTCGGCTCAGGTCGTGATCCCAGGGTCCTGGGATCGAGTCCCACATCAGGCTCCTTGCTCAGCGGGGAGCCTGCTTCTCCCTCTGCCTCTGTCTGCCTGTGCTCGCTCGCTCTCTCTCCCTCTGTCTCTGACAAATAAATAAATAAAATCTTTTTTAAAAAAAAAGAGAATTGTTTTTAGGGGGGCGCCTGGGTGGCTCAGATGGTTAAGCCTCTGCCTTCGGCTCAGGTCATGATCTCAGAGTCCTGGGATAGAGCCCCACATTGGGCTCCCTGCTTACAAGAATCCTGCTTCTCCCTTTTCCACTCCCCCTGCTTGTGTTCCCTCTCTTGCTGTCTCTGTCTCTCTCTCTGTCTCTCTCTCTCTCTGTCAAATAAACAAAATCCTCAAAAGGAAAAAAAAAAAAGTTGTTTTTAGGGGGCACCTGGGTGGATCAGTTGGTTAAATGTCTGATTTTTTTTTTTTTTTTTTTTTTAAGATTTTACTTATTTGACAGAGATCACAAGTGGACAGACAGGCAGAGAGAGAGGGGAAGCAGGCTCCTCGCCAAGCTGAGAGCCCGATGCAGGGCTCGATCCCAGGACCCTGAGATTGTGACCGGAGCCAAAGGCAGAGGCTTAACCCACTGAGCCATCTAGGTGCCCCCAAACATCTGATTCTTGATTTTGGCTCAGGTCATGATCCCAGGGTTGTGAGATTGAGCCCTGCATCAGGCTCTGTGCTAGGAATGGAGCCTGCTTAAGATTAGTTCTCTCCCTCTCCCTTGGCCCTTCCCTTCCCCAAAAAAAGAAAAGTTGTTTTTAATGGAGTCTAATTTCTACTCTTTTCACTTAAAAAATATTTAAGGACTTAGAGCATTAAAACAGTTGGTTACATTGTAGTTCTCTTCATTCATTACATAGCAAGCTGTAATGGTAAAGGCACATGTGCTAGATTAAATATGGACAATTGACTTTTGTGTAAAGGGATTAGTAAAGTATTGTTACTATGAGTCACTCGCCCAAGCTTGAAAAAACTTTCTCATAGTGAGCTTTTTGCTTCATTCGGTAAGCAGTGTTTGAATATTTATGGGGTATCTACCATGGTGCCTGGCACTACCAGGCATTGGGGAACAAGGCAGGCAAAGATGATGATATAGATAAAAATGGTATTTGAAAGCAGTTAAAACAAATGGGAAGAAAATGTGGTGTGGCAGAAAGAATGGCTTAATACTTCATTATCACTTGACAAAACTGAAGGCAAAAACAATATACACTAAAGTGTTTCCGATTAAACAGCAAGAAGCCTATATGATTGATTAGTCTGAAATTAGTAAACCTTGCAAAATTGCTGGAGTTGTGATTTCCAGACAGATTTTATGAATGTATATAATGCCAAAAAACAAACTTGGATTTTGATTTGGAACATTCTAATAAGTAAAATTTACGGTATATAAGGTTTTTTAATTTGTTTTCTAATTCCACACTACCCAGGTAATGTTTCTTTGTGGAGATAAAACTCACTTACAAAATTCACCATTTTAATCAATTTAAAGTATACATAGAGGGGTGCCTGGGTGGCTCAGAGGTTTAAGCCTCTGCCTTCAGCTCAGGTCATGATCCCAGGGTCCTGGGATTGAGCACCTCATCGGGCTCTCTGCTCAGCAGGGAGCCTGCTTCCTCCTCTCTCTGCCTGCCTCTCTGCCTACTTGTGATCTCTGTCTGTCAAATGAACAAATAAAATCTTTTAAAAAAATAAATAAATAAACATCTGTTTTCTGTTCTCTTGGATACACCTCAGTAGAATTACAGGCAGGTAAATTTTTTATTTATTATTTTTTGTAGTCAAATTATAAACTATTCATAATTTACCATTATATCCATTTTAAGTGTACAATTCAGTAGCATTAAGCATATTCATAATACTGTGTTACTGTCACCACCATCCATTTCCAGAGCTTTTTTCATTATCCCAAACTGAAATACTATACCCATTAAACCATAACTCCCCATTCCTCTGCTCCCCTACTCCTAGTAACTATTTTTTTTTTATTTTGCTATTTTAAGTAACTCATATAAGTTGAATGATACAGTATTTGTCCTCTTTCATCTGGCTAATTTTCATGCCTTCTAAGACTCATACAGGTTGGAAAGGTGCCTGGGTGTCTCAGTTGGTTAAGTGTCTAATTCTTAGTTTCTGTTTTAGGTCGTGATATCTCGGGGTCATGAGATCCAGACCCATGTAGGGCCCTGTGCACAGCAGGGAGTTCCCTGGAGGTTCTCTCCCTCTCACTTTGCCCCCGCCTTCCCATGCTCACTTGCTGCATACGTGTTGTAGCATGTGTCTCAATTTCATTCCTTTTCAAGGCCGAATAATATTCCACTGTATGTATATACCACATATTGTCTACTGGCAGGTGATGCTTTTAACACAAAGGAAACAGGTGCAATCTGTCCCTACATTCCTTTTTTTAAATTGCTTTTGGGGGAGAACAAAAAATCATTGATTATATATTATTGTTAGGCTTGGCAAGAACTGAAATGAAATCAATCATTGGCAAATCAACTGAATTGTAGTAATGGTGAAAATTGCTTTGCCGTATGGCTCATTATTAGAATTCAAGTTCGTTTTGTACTTCCAAATTATATCACCATTTCATAGTCGCTGATTACTTGCAGAAATGCAGTTTTATAAAAGGAACTGACTTGAAGGAAACTCCCAAGTACAGCAGTCAGAAACTAGTTGTTGTTTAACTTTAAGTCTGTATTACTCTTGCTGTCCTAAAATCACTTCTGGTAATGTCTTTGAATTACATACATAGCAAAATCATTTTGGACTGGTAACAAGTTGGTTAGAGCACAGACTGCTAGGTGGCTGTATGACCGTGGGCAAGCTGTTTAACCTGTCTGTACCCCTCTTCTCATGTGTTCAGAGGCTCAGTAACAGTACCTGCTGTCCAACATTAGATTACATGATACATCAGAGATCTTTTATTGAGTGGCACATAGTAGGCACTCAATAAATGTTGGCCTCTATTTGATTTTACAAGTTTTTTATATATTTGGTTCTTTTTCAGAATTCATAATGCACTTAAAGGAATCCCAGATGACCGAGATGGGCTGTTTGACACAATCCAGCGCTCTAAGAATCACTATCAAAAGAGAGCATACCAATGTATAAAATGTATGGTAGCTCTTTTTAGCAATTGTCCTGTTGCTTACCAGATTCTGCAGGTGAGGGTTTTTTCTTACAATTTTGTAAAAATCTGAATCAGAATTAGGGATTCCGTTTTAAAGACAAATATAATGAGATATTGGAGTTGTTATTTTAAGTTAACTTTAAGAAATATTCCAAAACCTTTTCCATACATGGTTTTATTTTCTTTTGAAGGGCAATGGAGATCTTAAAAGAAAGTGGACCTGGGCAGTAGAATGGCTTGGAGATGAACTTGAAAGACGACCATACACTGGCAACCCTCAGTACACTTACAACAACTGGTCTCCTCCAGTGCAGAGCAATGAAACATCAAATGGTTATTTCTTGGAGAGATCACATAGTGCTAGGATGACACTTGCAAAAGCTTGTGAACTCTGTCCAGAGGAGGTAAAAAAAAAAAAAAAAGAAAAGAAAAATGGAAGAAAGCACTTTGTTACTTCATAGGCCAGTGTTTATTAATGATAGTATCAAGGAATTTTGTCTAGGTTTTGTTTGCTTTAGTATTTACTATATGTAATCTTAAGTTAATGAGGGAGCCTTCTTTTATAGAGAAATTTCTGAAATTGCCTGACATGTAATCTTTCTGAAGAGACCCAAATCAGGTTTTTTCATCTGTTTCAGTTTATCTCAGTAAAAGGAAACTTGAGTCAGTTTTGTAGGTTTTTAAGTTTTTCAGATACAAAAAACTTCAATATGAATTTGCCTTGATTATTTAAAATTAGGAGCCAGATGACCAAGATGCCCCAGATGAGCATGAGTCACCTCCACCTGAAGATGCCCCATTATACCCCCATTCACCTGGATCTCAATATCAACAGGTAAAATCGGGTTGGTTTATGTTTTTATCCTCTAGACAATTCTTATGCTTTATTTAAAGAATGGTTGAATTTTTTGTTGGGACTGCAAAGTAACAGAGGGATTATCTGGACTACCTTTAGAGCATGAACAAAAGAGGAATAGCTGGGGCAGCTTCACAGTGTGATGTGTTTGAACTTCCCCTGTGGTGTCTTCCTAGTCAAATAGGTGCCTGTCTTTGTACACTCACTCAGTAAAACTATGTGGCAATTGATGTCAACATTAAATGATAATATTTAGTACAAAGGATTAGGACATTTCCTGTTAGGCTGAGTCTGCAGATGGATTCCAAAGACATTTTAAAGATGTGGCAATGAAGAAAATTGTTCTTGGTTACATAACCTAACCAAGACTTCAGTAACAATCAAAATTATTGAAAAATATCAAGGATTTGGTAGATTTCCATAAAAGTTCTGTATGATCAATAAATTTTAAAAATTTAGATAAAGAAACTTTCTAAAATAACTTTTCTTTCTAAAACCCAGAGGTGACCAATTCAGGTCTTTTGAGGCAGTGGTGCTCAAATTTGAACAAGCATCAGAATTCCCCAGTGGGCTTGTTCCAACACAGATTGCTGGGCCCCAGGCCAAGTTTCCGATTCTTTTAGGTGGGGGGGGGGGGGGCCAGAAAATCTGCATTTCTGACAAGTTCCCAGGTGATTGATGCTGCTGCTAGTCTGGAAGCCATACTTTCAGAACCATTATTTAAGGCATTCTCGCCTGGCTGGCTCAGTTGGTTAATGGTCCTACTTTTCTTCTCCCCCCCCACAAGATTTTATTTATTTATTTGACAGAGATCATAGGTAGGCAGAGAGAGAGGAGGAAGCAGGCTCCCCGCTGAGCAGAGAGCCCAATGCGGGGCTCTATCCCAGGACCTTGGGATCATGACCTGAGGTGAAGGCAGAGGCTTTAACCTACTGAGCCACCCAGGCGCCCCAAATGGTCCTACTCTTGATCTCAGCACAGGTCTTGATCTCAGGATTGTGAGTGCAGGCCCCAAGTTGGGCCCCAGATTGGGCATGGAGCCTTCGTGAGAAAGGGGCGGGATGGAAATAGAAGCATACTCAATAATTAGAAAATGCCCATTTAGCATATTTATTTTCATAATACAAATAATAGAAAGGCCTAAAATCTTCTTGACTGGTGGGAACGTACAGAAAAATGAGGGTTCACAGGTTTAAAAGGTTAGGAAATCAAATTCATAAGGAAGAAAGTTACTTTCCTCAGCCCTGAGAAAGCTCATGTATCAATCATGCCTAGCTCATCCATGTTTCTTTAACGTTGTCATTTCCATTAACACTGTTCTGTGTTCAAGGTTGTTGCTAATGCAGATCTCATATGACTGGTCAGTCATATTTGTCATTATCATATAGAAGCTTCCAGGTGCTTGGAAGAGTCAGAATAGATGGGTTCTAGTTCACAGATCATTTTGTGAGTGTTTTTGACAATAGACAATAACAAACTGTAATCCCTTGTTTGGTGGACTTACACCTAAATAATTTGGGGCACTCCACTTGTGATCTCTCTCTGTCAAATAAATAAAAATAAAAAAATAAAAATAAATAATTTGGGGCACTAAAAATCACTTTGGCTGAAGATTTATATAGCTCTACACTGGTTTTGTTTAGGGTTTGGGGCTAGGTTAGCTTTTTTCTTTTAGATTTTATTTATTTGTCAGAGCATAATCAGGGGGCGCAGTAGAGGAAGAGGAAATAGCAGGCTTTCTGCTGAGCAGGGAGCTTGATGTAGGGCTCAGTCCCAGGACCCTGAGATCATGACCTGAGCCAAAGGCAGACACTTAACCCATTGAGCCTCCCAGGCATCTGGAGCTTTTCTCTTTGAAATTATTTTTCTTTTCTTTCTCAGCATTAGCCCAAGGATATTTACTCTTTGTATGTCCCAGGAATAAAAGAAATGTTTACGTGTCCACACATTTCAGCCCATGATGCTATATGAAAACTTTTAACATTGATCTCTTGTCCCTTCCCAGAATAACCATGTGCATGGACAGCCGTATACAGGCCCAGCAGCACATCACATGAACAACCCTCAGAGAACTGGCCAACGAGCACAAGAAAATTACGAAGGCAGTGAAGAAGTATCCCCACCTCAGACGAAGGATCAGTGAAATGCACATAATTAACTAGTTCCATCAAGACTGTGCACCCAGGCCTTACAGTCCAACCTTTTTCTGTGTCTGGCTAATAATTTAAAACTAGAAAAACTATTCCTAATCAACATGGAGTGGAGAGTTTATTCACTGTCTTATCTGCAGAAATTTGCTGTCAATATATAACCCGCCTGCAGTGGAAAGTGTATAGTGTTTTGTAATAAATGGCCTGATGCTGATGTGTAAATGGCAAAGGTGTATATAGTATATTAATGTTTGACTGTTAATTCTTAAGCAAGAAACTTTTCTTGAGGAGACTCAGATCTACAAAAACTACAAAAGTTAATTTTCTTGTTCTTCCCACTGCACTCTGCAACCAGTGTTGACTGCCTCGTGGCAGTTGGATCTGCTCCTTTACAGAAACAAAAAAATAAACCAACAGCAACAAAACAGCCCATCCATGTCAACCACACCAATAGTTTCATGTTAATTCTTTGCCACGGGAGTCAGTTTTACTATGAGCAATGATATAAGGCTGGTAACCTTTAAATTATTTGGTTGATGTGGAAAATTGGTGATGTAATATTGTTTCTAGATCTTTTTCATTGCCTTTTTAATTCTGATGTTAGGTTAATCACTTTGAAGCTATAGTTATGCTGTAACATTTAGCATGGCTTCACACCAGGTTAGTGTAGCCAATGAGGAAAAATTACCCTAATGACAGCAGTTGTCCCAATGTGACAGCTGTATTGCTCAGAGCTTTTCCTTCTTACACCTAGAATATAAGTATAAAACAAGGGGAGAAATGTGAGAAACAGGCGGTTTTCAGTTACACATACGTTGCTTATGTCTAATGTTTGACAGTTCAATCTCTGGGTGGGATAAAGAAATTTAAATATCAGTAATGGGAATTTTTAAAGATTTAAAACAAATATGCAAAAATTTGCTATGCCAGGATGCTTGGAGCATAATAGAAGACTGTATTTGGTGTGCTTGTTTTGTTTCTTTGGTAGAGCTTATTAGATGAATCTTCTAGAACTTTCCTTCCGCTGGACCCCAGTGAAGTGGAAGTCACCAGAATCCCACAGTACTTGGAGCGCCACTGCACCAAGTTTGTCTGGCTGAGTTTCTGCTCAGGCACAGTTTTACTTGAAAGCAAGAATTGTCCTAGCTCCTTTTCCATTATTCCAAAATTTTGAATGTTCGAAGCAGGGTCTTGATTAAAAAGGAAACTACTAGTTAGTTAATCTAATTGAGGTATCATAATTTCAGCATAAACATTTAATTAAAGATAAGGAACTGATCAGTTAATACTGTATTTAAAAGAGAATTGGTAACTTGAATGTGTGTAATTTTTGGAACCTGTCTAAAAACCAAATACCCCTGCAAACAGATACAGTCCACCCTATTCTATTTAAGTATTTTGCTGTTTTATTTTATAGAAATTATTTTGCTGAATTCACAAATAGAATTTGATTTATGAAGAACTTTTTGTCCTGTGGTGTGTTTTTGTTTTTGGGTTGGTTTTCTATTTTTTGGTTGGTTCGTCACCCCCTCTTTTTTTTTTTTTTTTTTTTTTTGGGTTTTTTTTTTTTTTCTTTTTTGTTTTTTGGGGGTTTTTTTTTTTTGGTTTTTTTTTGTTTTTTTTTTTTTTTGTTTTGTTTTGGTTTTTTTTGAAGGACTGCATAATTCTGTGCATAGCATGCTTAGGCATGACACTGAATTCAGGAGTTCAGTCACATCGAGTTTTTGTGCACAGAAAGATTTGACCTTTGGCCCTTGACTAAAGATTTAGAGAAAACAGGATGTTGACACTGTAAAAGTTTCCTAACATAATCAATCTTGTACTTTTTGTATGTTTTTTATATACATGTATATTTAATGAGCACAAGCTTGGTTGTATTTTTTACAATTTAGTTAATAGGAAAATGTTTTGTCAAAAAGGCTATAGTTGGAACTGAACAAAGCAGAAACAAAATTGAGAATTGCTTTATTTTGTGATTAAAAGGGGCAGGTATTTAAGATAAAGCTTTGGGTATCTTATTTGCAGTACTCTATAGTCCATCTGTGCTTCTAGGTTTTCTGTAATACTAGGAAATTGTGACACCAGACAGATCCTGTTTTTACCTTAAGTATGTTACATCTGAGTTTAAGTTGGAGCAAAATCCTACACACTGTTTGCAATTCCAGTTGATAGTTTTAAATTAAAAGTTCCTCAATTCCAGGCTTCCTTAGCAATAAGCAAAATAGGTTAACTGTATTTGGACAATTTGCTATCCTTGGTGATTTTTGTATTTCCCGCTCCTTAACAAAATATGTGATGTACTTAATTTAAAAACTTTTTAATGACTTCCTAGACACAAAAAACTTGACATTTGAAAAGGCTGTGAATTTTTCTCCTTGGAGGGAGATCCCATCTTGGTTGCTTTGAATTGACAATTCCCCTTGTGCCAGGTGAGAGCTTTCGAATCCTTTTCCCTTCCATTTGAGGAAGAGCTGTCTATGTTGTGCTCAGGATCAAGGGAAAGTGAACAGGGAGATTTATTTTTGTTTGTGTGAGTTATTTTCTCTATTTAACTTCTTAAGCATTAACATATAAGTGGAAATTTTAAGGCGCATGTTACTGTAAGAGCAACATGGTGGTGTCGAGGTCTTTTTCTGAACATCAATGGCACATTTAAACTTCCAAGTCTTCAAAGTGCCTAAAGATAATTTAATTCTCCCTCAACTGATTTCTTGAGCCATATATATAATTCCTACTTCAAACCTTTGTTTCAGAATCACTAGTCTTCCTTTCAAAGAAGAACCCCCAGGATTCTAAATGGCATGAATACTTCATAGAAGACAGATTCTACTGTTAACATAAAGACTAAAGCTATTTTTGTTGTTAACTCTGTGAACAAGGGCTTTGCCCTGTTGGATCTAAGTATTTCCGTGCACAACTTGGTAAAAAACATATTGCTGCTGTTTTTAAGCCCTCCACCAACTAAATTTTCATGCTCAGCATTGTAGAGGCAGAAATAACATAAATCATACTTGGGGTATTTTGCCTTTCCTTGATTTTTCTCTCTGATAATTTCCCAACCTTGTGTCTTTTAGCTGTTATATATACAAATTTAGAATTATTAAAATGTTTTATATTTTTTTCATGATTAACTTTTATTAGTGAATGATAAGTATTTAATCCTAGTAGTGGTTAAAAAGATGAGGAGCCTTTTTTATTGAAATTACATTTGTAAATGAAAGCAACAGTCTGTGAATTTTCAGATGACTACAACAAAATGGTTCCTTTCACTTTTTCTTGGTATTTTTCCAGCTTCTGTTCTCCCATGAACTCTTACTTTGCTGAATTTTGTGGTTAATTTGGTGGATATATCCTGCCTTATTTAGAATTCTAACTGGATAAGAAAATTGCCTTTTCCTTATTAAGTGCCCAACTTTGGTCTCTAGCTGGAAGGTACTACATACTGCAAAGAAAAGAAAACAACCTCCTTCCCGCCCCACCCACCCCGTTTTTGTGTTACTGAAGAAAACAAAAAAACAAGACAAAAACATTCAGTACTGGTTTTATAGTAGTGCTCAACCAAAATTGGTCCTGCACCTACATGAGTGTTTAGTGTTTGAAAATAAGGTTTTGGGTGTCATACATCACTACAAAAAGTGCTAAATGTATTAAGAATTTGCTGCCGACTGTATTTATTTATAACAGTTATTTTACATTTGCAGAAATGTAGCGCTTTTCCTCCAGATTCATAGGTGTAAGAAAAAAGGGGGGAAAGGTGCACCATGTTTTAAACTTGGAAATGAGTGATTTTTTTTTTTTAATCCAGATTCCCCAAAGGAAATTTACCACCCAGATCACACACTTCTCAGCCTTTTACAAGCCAACAGACTGACTGAAGATTGTCCACAGTTCCTAAGATTTAGCACATATACAAAAATAAAACTTTATAAATTAAATTTCGGCTTTCCCTTTTATTTATTAAAATAAGATGTCTAAATGGAGGTAAATTAGAGGTGTAATAATAGATTTTATGGGAACTTAAAAAAGTGTTTACAAATAGAGGAATTTGGCCCTCTGTATCTCCAAAGTATATTCACATCTAAGCAGTGCAAAAATTGAGTTGTGATCTAATTGCTGACTTAACAGTCTAAAATGGAGATTTGGCAAACACTGGGGTGTTTCAAAGTTCATTTAAATATCAAGTGCAGCAGGTCACGTGTTTTGAGGGGAGTTACAGAAGTGAAAATTACCTCCAGCAGATTTCATCTATTCTGCTTTTTTAGTATCTGCAAAGCAATTCTTTGTTGCAGTGTTCAAAAGAAATAGGATTTCCACAAAAGCCTGTTGGTGTGTCCTTTGAGTTGGGGTACTGCTAAAGACCTGCGCAGCCCAGATTCTCAACATTTCTGAAAAACAAAACTGATAGTTAACTATTGTATATTTTGGAAAACTCCACTTAGATTAAACCATTTGAACTTTTAAGTATTCTTAGCTACATGAATACACCAAGTGGAATGAAACTGTGCATAGCCACCGATATTTTGAACTGTTTGAATTGAAATCTGACAATTCACAGGTCAGTAAACAAGTTAAATCTTTACTATCTATAAATTGAAAACTTTAAAGCCTGGAGTTACATAAAAGGTTTTCATAGCTCATTTTCTTTAGGGATACAAAGTCTCAAAGGAAACTTCTTCAACCACACTTAAACTTTTGTCCATAAAACAAAATGTCAGACCCATATAAAAATGACTTATTTGAAAGGCAATCATATTTAAATGTGCACGACTCCAGAGTATAGTGGGAATGCTTTTAACTGCCCCCTGGAGGTCATCTCCTTGTGCTCTATCAACATTAAAGTGAATATACCACATTTCAACCAAAGATGACATCTTGCTGCATGGTACCCCAGTAAGCAAAACTACAGACTGAAATTTTAGGGATATCAAAATGCAGGGAATCCCATTTTGTAGTAAATCATGGCAAATACCTTTGTTTTAATATCTGAAAGTGTAAGTTTTTAATTGTGTTGGGCTTTTCTCATGTGGCTTATTTTTCCATTAACCTAAGCAGAATAGAGAAACCCCGTTTTTTATGTGTAATTAATAATAAAGGTGGCCAACTTAGAAGTTTATGAAGAAAAAGTCTGATGGAACTGAACCTTTGAGGAGTCTTCAAACTATTCACGGAGTGCCCTGTATAAGCGATTCTCTTGACACAGTTCTATGTCCTTGCCTCCAGTTTTCTTGCCATGCACACTATAGTTAAAAGGCCAAGCAGACTTTCTGGCTCCTCCTGTAGCCTCCATCTGCCTGGCCTCATTTTGTGTCTGTCCAAGCATTTCCTGTGTGAGAACAAGCATAACCGTTGCTTTCCTTACCCTTGCTCACTATTCCTCCCCAAAAGTAGTTTGGTGGGGGTCACCTGCAAGATAGCAAGAATCACATTCATTTTCTGTTTTCAACTGTATAATGTTAAAATATTCAAAATGGATGCTTTGGATGGGAAGAGTTCCCAGGAGTCCTTTGGAGGGATTCCCTTGCGTAAGGATTTGGAAATGTATTCTTGAGGGTGTGGCTGTACAAGACCTGCCAATCTGTCAAGTTCTCGTAATTCCCCACTCACTAAAACATGGGGTACACCTTTGGAATTCAGAAGTAAAGATTACTTGGGGGTCTTAAATCTGGTGTCTCAGAGTGAAGGAAGGATTGCACCATGAAGGTTCGGAATCCCCTCACCTTTGGACCTAACTGCTGCTTGCACCATGGCTATTGGGAGGAGAAAGTGTTTATGCGGGGCGCCACGGAAACAGGTGGACACTCAGGACTCAGTGTGTGTTGAGGAAAAGCCCTTGGATAATCCATTTTCCTAAGATCTCTAGATGTTTAGGATATGTCCCTGACCTAGTTTTTTTATGTAAAGCAGTGTGTTCTGTTGGGTGAATAGGAAAAGAGCTTTTTCAAGCTGTGTGTTTAAAATCAGAAACCTAGGGGCACCTGAGTGGCTCAGTCATTAATCTTCTACCTCCGTCTCAGGTCACAATCCCAAGGTCCTGGGATTGAGTCCTACGTCAGGCTTCCTGCTCAGGAGGAAGCCGGCTTCTCCCTCTCCTCCTGCTTGTATTCCCTCTCTATCTCTTGTCAAATAAAATCTTAAAAAAAAAAAATCAGAAATCTAGACGGTGACTGCTCAAATTTGATGAGTATCTTTCCTTACTGAAAATATTCATCAGTAGGACTTTTTTTTAAAGATTTTATTTATTTATTTGACAGATCACAAGTAGGCAGAGAGGCGGGGGGTGGCGGGTGGGGAGGTGCCGGGGGCAGGCTCCCAGCTGAGCAGAGAGCCCAACGCAGGGGCTCGATCCCAGGACCCTGGGATCATGACCTGATGGGATCATGACCTGAGCCGAAGGCAGAGGCTTAATCCACTGAGCCACCCAGGCGTCCCATCAGTAGGACTATTAATTATTTCTTTCAGCCA